CCACATATAACCGGAGTCTATACTACTGTATAATCATACTACTGCTGCTTGTTTGAATTGTGTTGGGGAGAGATATTTAGATAGGCTCTGCCTGTTTATCAATCCCCTTTCACTGTACCAAGTGGAAATAAATATTGTTTAAAAAATAAAATAAAATAACTCAATGTACATATCAACATAAGTTAGATCATATGACAAGAATGGTTTCGATGTACAACATAATCACAGAATTCTCGAATGATCTTAACACGTACATAAACAATCATGGTATATTGTGATAAATGTTTACTTTCACTCATATTTTTTACATTCATATAAATAAGGCCATACATAATACATTTAATTAATTTCCTGTTTTCTCTCCTTTTCGAATAAATAAAGTCCTTTCCATAAAAACCTATGCATAAAGCAGAGTGTGTTTATGAATCACATTGTTTATGAATTATGAATTTAAAGGTATAATGTAATTCACCAGCTGCTGCAGGAGAATCAGAGAGATATAGAGAATCTCACCCTCGTGTCTTTTGATATCGAGGCTTGCCGAGGATTTTTGCCACTTTTATCAACGAGTGTTGATATATTTGATGTCAAAAGACACGAGGGTGAGATTTTATTTATCATCCAACATCATTCTTCCAACTTTTTCAATTTGTAGACAATAATTAGCAGTGTCTTCAGTGTAAAAAGTACTGCTAACAGCTTCAGTAGCAGAGCCATTAGTGATGTCATTTGATTGTGACGTCATGGTAACCAGTGATGTCACAATGGTCTGCAAAGCGTTGTGATGTAATTTCATTGCAGCGATATCTACAGTTTAGATATCGCTTGATCTCATCCAAGTGATATCTCCTGTGGGAGCCAGTTTTGGATGATAAATCATGTTGTATCCCCTCGGGGTAGATGGTGGTTAGATGTTCAGAAGTGTATAATTGGAAAAGATACTGTTTTTGGTAATCTTTAAATAACTGATCATAATTGCCTTTAGAACTTGCTAATACTGATTTTCTCTAAGATTGATAAAACTGACCTCTTCAGATGATTTCTACTTGTGTTATAATCCAAAGAGTTGGAAAGTATTTGGTTTATGAAAATATTTAATCCACATGAATGGGGTATGATTTCGACTTTATAGAGCCAACTATTCCAGTATTTGATATTTTTAAGGATAATTACAGAGCGTTTAGCTTCACTTGCATCTGTTGTTTTATGCCAGAATGAAACATTTCGTTTGGATGCCTCAGTAGTTAAAGGTTCTCTTACAAGTTCCCCGAAATATGAGTTCTTAGTCCCCAATTTTAAGGAATGTTAAATGGAGGTCGAGGATTTCATAGCCCCAGACTTCTCCGCCATATGACAAACTTGGAACTATCATAACATCAAACGATTTCAAAAGACAGTCTAAAGGCAAGTATGATTTGAGTTCTTTTGCGGAGACAAAACACGGGCCTCATATGCAGTGTGTGTCAGTTGTTTCTTCGCAAAAGTAAATGTTCTATTTCTTTGTATTTTGATACCAAGATTAGTATAACAGTCTAAAATAGTCTCTACAAACTGAAAGGTTTCTTAATCTTGTTTGAAAGACAGCCACCAAAAACTACAATTATATTTTATTTAAATATTTACTTGTCGTCTCTGTTTAATGCAGTAGCTATGGTAAATGTTCAATGATGTTTGTAATGATCCATGATCCTCGCCAAATATCACTGCATACAATCACACTAGGAATCGTAAGAAATGACAATAAAGAATTCATATCGAAACCTTCCCATCCATGGTGTAGAAGTTTTAGCTCAACAAGGAAAATAGCGAAGGAGAAAGATTCTCTCCTCGACGCACGCCAATATGACTTGGGAAGTAATCTGACATTGAATCATCATAGATATACATGGCATACTATTATACATGTTTTAATGAGAGATAAATCTACCCTTGATTCCACATTTTAGTAATTTTGGACTAACTCCAATACACCAAAAGCTATCGAAGGCTTTCGAGAAATCAATAACAGCACAGAACAATTTTTTCTTCGAGGATTTCAAACTTTGCATTAACACAAATAGGTTCCCAACATTGGGGTTATCTTTCTGGAATACGGATTAAGTATCTGACATTATTTGATTTACTTCCACAAAAAATGTAAACCTTATGTTACAACACTGGTAAATACTTTTCAAATAGCTCATTACTGCAGTTAGGGTCCAGAGCATCACGTGTCTTCTTATATATTGGTTTTATTATTCCTGTGACCCAAGACGATGGCATGTGTCCAGGACAAGATTGATTAAGTTTGTGTATAATGGCCCGAGGAATTCAAAGGAGTCGTCGAGACATTGGTTTAGAAGGAGATCAATCGAATGTCTGGTCTGGTCATTATTTAAAAGGGGCAACAAACAAACAATACAACTCAATTAAACTTGTTGTTAAGTGTTGGTTTCATTTATATTGTCGCGCACTTAAAAGCCTTTTTATACGTTTCAAATGGTCGACAAACGACATATTTTAACTTTACCTTGTCGCATTGTCGGTAAAAGTAAAACACATTCAAAGCGCGACACTGAAATGGTCAAAATGTCGCGTTGTCGCTTGTCACTCTTTGGTTAATTATGATTATTTTTTTGTAATGGCGACAACAAATCGACAATATTCCTCCTAGCATTCCATATCGTTTGTTCTTGAAAATAAAGTCGTGGATTGGTATACATAGAATCTCACCCGAGTGTCTTTGGATATCAAATATATCTACACCAGCTGATAAAAATGATGAATAATGATAAAAAACCTCCGAGGCCCTCGGAGGCAAATTATTAAAGTTTTAAATTCTTTTTGTGAACTAGCGCCAATGCGTCCGAGCGTCCGTGCATGACAATAATTTACTCGTATAGTGTTGACACGGGGCAATATAGACTCCCAGCATACCATGCATTTCGTCGCAAATGGGGACTGGATGGGTAGAGCGAGGTCTGATTGTGTAACATCATACCCAAACGACACTGGTCGCTGCTCATGCTACGAATCACTGTTTTTTCCCCAGGTCCAGACGGAAGTACGGGTGACCCAGTCGTCTATGGGGCCGCAATTCGCTTGCAGAGTTGCGTCCCTTGGGCATGCCAGAGATCTATGATTGTGGGTTCGAATCCCGTTTCTCTCAGGTTATGTTACTGAGATTATGAGCACAATACCCGTTTCACTAAAGGGGAAAACGTCTGAGACCTGCATCGCTTTCCTCCCACATTAAGCTGACACGCCGCGATATAACTGGAATACTGTTCAAAGGGGCGTTCAACGGAACTCACCCACAAACTCAGGTCAAGACTCGATTTGTTACAAGATTTTACTGTGCCCGCTGGGAACACGCGATATGAAACACATCTTATAAAGCGAATTGGGGCGATGGGGTAGCTTAGTAGTTTAAGTGTGGGCTATTCTCGCCGAAGAACCGGGTTCGAATCCTAAAATGGGTCGAATGTGTAAAGTCTTTTCTGGTTTCTCCCGCCATGATATTGCTGGAAGTTTGCGAAAGGCGATGTGAGACCTCACTTTCTGATCACTGTCAGAAGAATGTTTGAGACAGTTCTAACATTAAAACAAAACTTTCTTTATCACATGACTGTACCACACCCATCATCTCGGTGTGTTTACTGGCAGTGATGTGCTTGGGTGTTGTCATAGTGGCTGACGATGTATAATTATGTCAGTGTTGTCACAGTTTCCGATGTTGTGACAGAAGTTAGCGTTGTTTCAGCGACGGCAGTAACGACACAGCGTGTTGTCCACATTGACTTGGAGACGACGTGTGTGTACTGTGCCCCGAGTGACGTTTAGACACTTTCAGGATAAAGATATACGATAGCCTAATTATTGAATATGGGTCGTGACAACACGTTAATCTGATTTAGATCTGATTTGTTGATGCGGTTTGTTGCACGCTCTGTGTTGTTTTGAACTTGTCAGTTAAGCCTTCAACAAAAAAATTGTCTTTATTTTTTAAACTAGTAGTTAATTTTGGCATATCCTTTCGGATGACCAACACGAAACAAGTAAATCAAGGTAAATGGCTGAGCCCCGTTCCACAAAGCGCTCGGAGCGCAACGACTGTCGTAACGTCAATACTTGAACATAGATTAGCGATAGTCGTCGAGCTGAGGTCGCGTTTTGGAACGAGACCCTGCATATTTGAATGAACCAGACACACCCGCCTGTAAACATCGGGACATTTAAATATAACCAGAAAAATATACATTCATTTTGTAAAGAGGTGTTAAAGTATGTCGTTATAACAAGCATTATTTTGCAAAGTAGACACAATTTATGGATAACAACTTCTTTAATACTGTAAGGGCGACGTTTCGGTATAGATCCTTTTACCGTTGTTAACATAAGGATCTATACCGAAACACTATATACAGTATTAAAGAAGTTGTTATCCATAAATTGTGTCTACTTTGTCATCCGTCAACTTCTAAGTAATGTACAATGTATGAAGCCCATTTCTGGTGTCCCTCGCCGTGATATTGCTGGAATATTGCTAAAACCGGCGTAAAACCATACTCACTCACTCACTCTAACGTCTAAGTGAGTGAGTGAGTGAGTATGGTTTTACGCCGCTTTTCACACATTGTACCCATGTCGGGAATCGAACCCGGGTCTTCGGCGTGACGAGCGAACGCTTTAACCACTAGGCTACCCGACCGCCCCCACTCACTCTAAGTAATGCCTATCAAACATTTCAACCATCATTTTTTCCCGTAAGTTTGTTTTAAATGTAATGGGGGTTAGGGCAGTCGTAACTCTACGATTACCTGATTAGTATCAGATATATCATCATATGTATTATCAAATAAATACATGATGTATTATGATATGTATCTGATGTAATACCAGATACGCCATCAGATGCATTATCCGATTAGTACTGATGTATTATCTGCTTTGTTATCAGATGTATTGCCCGATGTGTTATCAGATGTATAATCTGATTATTATCTGATGTGTTATGTAATGCACTATGGCCTGATGATTGACCTGATTATTATCGCCAGGTCCCATGTCGCGTTGTCCACGTGGCCCGTGGGGCCAAGCTGCGCGACTTCATGGACCAGATCTACTCGCACTTCCGTGATGTCGGGGCTCCAGTCATGATGGGTAAGGACACCTATACCTGGCCTGTTTCCTTACACAAGGACCAGAGTTTTCATTAATGGATTTGTCTCTTATATATAAACGTGATAATTGTGCTCCAGAGTATTAATTATATGCTTTGTTTGTTTGGTGTTTAACGCTGCACTCAGCAATATTCCAGCTATATGACAACGGTTTGTAAATAATCGAGTCTGGACCAGACAATACCATGATTTACATCATGAGCATCTATCTACGCAATTGGTACACGAAGACATGCATCAACCAAGTCAGCAAGTCTGACCACCCGATCCCGTAAGTCGCCTCTTACAACGACCTATTCTCAACCAAGATCTTCAGGGGTCTAGTTATATGCACTCGAAGTGTTAACTTAACGAAGGTCATTAGTTGGTTAGAGGCAAAACCAGCTTTTTATTTATCAAATCTACCAAATCACATCGAGAAATCCTTCATTAAGTTTACCGCCTGTTATCATGAGCTTCTTTCTTGAAGAACACAGTTTCTCTTGCGTACAGGTGGCGACACGGATGCTTCCTCCAAGGGCATTGTGGGAGCATGTAGAGATCCACCCAGTTTGCTTGTAGTGGTAAGTACATACACATCTTCAATATCTTTAAAACATCAAAATACATATAACAAGAGTTTCCGTTATCGTTTGCAATAATTTTATTCTGACGGGAAGAACGGGTGGTCCAGTCGTCTAAGGTGCCGGAATTAGGCGTGCCAGAAACCTAGGACTGTGGGTTCGAGTGTGTAAGTGAGTTTGGTTTACTGCCCATTTGAACATTATTTCAGTTATATCACAGTGTGCCAGCTTGATGTGGGAGGTAAACTTAAAGTGATGCTGGTCTTCGCCGGTTGGTAAAATCCACGTGCGCTGGCGTGGTTCTAACAAACTTAGAAATATGATCTGGAATTTGTTTCCGATTTTTCATGTAATCCGAATACTTTTGCGGGATCCCCACTGCTATGGTGCTGGTGTCTTTGTTACAGGATCCTCTCTGCTATGGTGCTGGTGTCTAGTTCTACATATTGTCTGTTACAGGATCCTCTCTGCTATGGCGGTGGTGTCTAGTTCTACCTATTGTCTGTTACAGGATCCTCACTGCTATGGCGCTGGTGTCTAGTTCTGCATATTGTCTGTTACAGGATCCTCACTGCTATGGCGCTGGTGTCTAGTTCTACCTATTGTCTGTTACAGGATCCTCACTGCTATGGAGCTGGTGTCTAGTTCTACATATTGTCTGTAACAGGATCCTTACGGCTATGGCGGTGGTGTCTAGTTCTACATATTGTCTGTAACAGGATCCTTACGGCTATGGCGGTGGTGTCTAGTTCTACATATTGTCTGTAACAGGATCCTTACGGCTATGGCGGTGGTGTCTAGTTCTACATATTGTCTGTTACAGGATCCTCACTGCTATGGAGCTGGTGTCTTTGTTACAGGATCCTCTCTGCTATGGCGGTGGTGTCTAGTTCTACCTATTGTCTGTTACAGGATCCTCACTGCTATGGCGCTGGTGTCTAGTTCTACATATTGTCTGTTACAGGATCCTCACTGCTATGGAGGTGGTGTCTAGTTCTACCTATTGTCTGTTACAGGATCCTCACTGCTATGGAGGTGGTGTCTAGTTCTACATATTGTCTGTTACAGTATCCCCACTGCTATGGAGCTGGTGTCTAGTTCTACATATTGTCTGTTACAGGATCCTCACTGCTATGGAGGTGGTGTCTAGTTCTACCTATTGTCTGTTACAGGATACTCACTGCTATGGCGCTGGTGTCTAGTTCTACATATTGTCTGTTACAGGATCCTTACGGCTATGGAGGTGGTGTCTAGTTCTACCTATTGTCTGTTACAGGATCCCCACTTCTATGGAGCTGGCATCACACGACATCAACTGCAGGAGAAGTGCTGGGTCAAATGGGTGTCACTGGAGAACTTCTGTCAGGAATCATTCTACAATCTGTGTATGCCAGTAAAACTTGACAAGTCTTGACCAATAAATGATGAGGTTTTTATGTGGTTATTAATTCCTACAGTCCTGTAAGTTATTCCGCAGTTGTTCAGCAGGATGTAATGTGAACCGCCAGCTTCTGTGACAAACGACCGGCTCTGTGGTCAAGTGGTAGAGCGCCTGGAGAGCTGGGGTTCAATCCCTGTCCGCGTCCTGCCTAAAGACGTTAAAAGATGGTTCTTGTTGTTACCCTGCCTGGCGCTCAGCATTAAGGGGCTAAAACAAGACTGGTCGGCTCCGAGTCAGTAAACAGTGTGGGATAATCATGTTAAACTGTGGCACAGTTGGCAAGTGCTATAAAATCGGAATGAGTCTGGAATGAGGGAGGGGCAAGAGGAGAGAGGGATGTATGTAGCTAAATAAGTGCAATTATCTTAAACACGACGTTAAACCCCATTTCACCTCACCTCACCTCTGTGACAAACATGTATTATTGGAGGATGCCTTTAGAACTTTCCAGCTTCGATGTACCGGTACACCTTATTTGATCGGTGGTTCCCTGTATGTCCAGCACAGAGAGGAAAGAGAAACACAACAATTATCTTGTTATAACCAGTTTATTCCAGTCAAATGTTGACTGCCTTAAATAGCTGCCGACAGTTAACAGCCAAGCTTTCTAACCAGTGGAGATTTCACTTGTCTATATACATGTTTAGAGACAACAACTTTAACATTCATGAATTAATTTTTAACTCTTTTGGCACAATTATTTTCAACAAAAAGTGGAGACAGATGGGACTGAAGAGGTAATCTAGTAGTGTTATGACAAGCAGCATATATAATAAACAGTTATGGCACAATTTCAAAATGATTCTGCTAGACGATATACTATTCACAAAAGGCAAAATGGAATTCATATTGAACTTTTGTACCCATGTGCAACATATGACAACTCCTTGCCAGTCAAATGCTACAAGATTCACTGTAAACATAATAACTTCTGCTTGCTATTCAAACATCACTTATCCCATAACAAAAAATACTGAATGGCCACTAGATAGTACTCACTCACATATCAAACATAAACAAATTCCATACAAACTGATTTTCAGGTCAGTGTTTCTATTTTTCTTCTATCGTTCGGAGAATGTTCACACTGTGAAATCGACTACCGGTACCTGTAAGTGCAGATGACTACTTGAGCAAACTTAAGCCTGTTGAAACATAAGACAGCTTTTCTCCAAACACTTACATGAAAGTGCGCAGGTTGGAATCATCTTCCAGGTGCATTAACTGGAGGTTTTATGGTACAGAGACTCCAGGTACATTATATGGAGGCTCCAGATAAATGATACAGAGGCTCCAGGTTAATGGTATGGAGATACAGAGATACGGAGATACATAGGCTCCAATAAGGCTCCAGGGGTACATGATATGAAGGCTCTATGATAAAAGATTCCTGATGCATGGTACAGAGGCTCCAGGTACAGAGGCTCCAGGTACACGATGCGGAAGCAGACACAGAGGATCTCCAATAAGGCTCCAGGGGTTCATGACATGAAGGCTCCATGATAAAAGATTCTAGATGCATGGAACAGAGATTCCAGGTACACGATACTGAGACAGACACACAGGACCCCTGACAATGCTCCAGGTACATTATACAAAGCCTCTATCAGCTCTATAATGATATGTTTGCATCTCTCTGGGAATTCAATCACCTTGGAACAATGATGCTGTCATCCTTAGCACATTAAACATACAACATTCACTCTGTCTGAACACCTACAATAATCCAACATCATTCATGGAGAAGTGATCCAGTAATGAGCAAAATCTAACAAAATATTCAAGGATAACAAAAACTGTATAATACATGTACCAAACAAACAAAATAACAGCATCAGCAAATGATTAGGGAAACAAGATGAAAATAAGAAAATAATACACAACAAAAACTCCATGCATGGCATGAGTGAGTGAGTGAGTGAGTTGGGTTTAACGCCGCTTTTAACAGTTTTCCAGTTATATCACGGCGTGTCAGCTTAATGTGGGAGGAAAGCCCGAAGTGATGCAGGTCTCAGACGTTTACCACTTCGGTGAAACCCACGAGCACGGGTATGGTGCTGACAAACCTAGAAACATAATCGGGGCGAACCGGGATTCGAACCCACAATCATAGGTTTCTGGCGTGTCCAAGGGACGCAACTCTGCACAGCGAATCGCGGCGCCTTAGACGACTGGGCCACCCGTGCCCCCGCATGGCATGAGGAGTGTATGTGGAGACGAGAACTTCCCGGCAGTGACGATCTGAAGCCAAAAGCCAACAACAACTTCAAGGTCACAACAGGAAGACATACCATTGTATTTTAAAACTTACGCAGTGTTAATAGCTGGGAAACTTGTCAAGCCAGACTGGATAGGATAATCAAAGATTACCAATAATCACTGTTCAGGCTAAAATATAAATTATTACTGGCCATGGACTAACGGAGTGGCAGCTATTTCGCACAATGAATGTCAGTAATGTAGAATACGCACAAAATATTACTTCTTACTTTTGTGAATGAGTTTTGTGGGTATGGTTTTACGCCATTTTTAGCCCTATTTCTGCAGTATGGCAGCTGGGAACACCAGAAATAGGCTTCATACATTGTACCCATGCGGGGAATCGAACCTGGGTCTACTCCCCCACCCCTACTTTTGTGTATTGTGTTTACTTTTCTTTGTGCTGGAAGGCGTGTTCTATCCAGTCCGAGGTTTAGTGTTTTTGTTCATGCAGGACTATACTTTTATACTTCATGCAGTAGTCGTCTAGTACAGCAAGACATATAAAAGTATCAATTTAACACAAGCAAGTCAGAAATCAAAGTTAAATATTTTGAATATTTGAAAAATATCGATCCCCATAAAATTTGAAATTTAAAATTCCATGCTTGATGTCCACCATTCCAAAGAACAAGTCAGAAAGTGATATATATATAGGGGTATACATGATGACCTGATCAGAAAAGTACTAAACTAAACTGCTTGATTACAGGATCTGACAGTCAGCACTGTCATTGCAGGTCTAACATACACAAATATTCCAACAAATACAGGTGTTAGATTATGTCTCACAAACCCATCACCAAACACGGTACCTTGATTACAAATATCATACATACCTGTCCCTCAATAGTTCAATACAGGAAGTAAGAACTATCTATTGATACACTACAGTAGAACCTGTGTAAACCACACTCCTTTGGGATGCAAATTATAGTTTGGATTAGACAGAAGACTCATTATGTCCTGTGACTAAAGTTGATAGCAAAAGACCAGAAGTAGGAAACCTGTCTTTTCAAGAAGTTTAAGAACACCTGATTTTTTCACATGACTATAGTTAATCTGTCGTGCCATGATCAGGTGTTACTTAACTTCTTTCGAGCAATATATGTGACCAAAGAGATATCACTTGCAAGCCCTGACACAGGGTTTTGAAAAGGAGGGGTACATCTTGTGATCTGACAATTTGTGTTCTGTAATCGTGTAAATTTTTTTAAACTACCGTATTCGACATAATAAGCGCCAGCAGCGATATTTGCTAATATATTGGCTAGTGAACAATCCCAATTAGCACCCCTTCCGATTGATCAATGTACACAAGACTTATTTATGCGCGTATGATACGCACTCGTGCGTTATATGCACCCTTAATTATGGGCAATTAAATTCTGGAAAAATATATCTGTCGTACATAAACATTTCAGGCTGTCAGCATAAACCACAAAATTTATCTTTCAACTCATCTTTTTTCACCAAAATAATATTCTAATGAGAGCCCCCCTATTTCTAATTTTGAGAGCGCCCTGGGCGGTTATTACGTCGAATACGGTATATCTTGTTATATGTTTTCCTTTAATATACCTGAACACCTAAATAATTCTATGGATCATAAATATGCAAGGCAAGAACACATGACTGCACCACCAATAACATGATAATAGCACCAATAATGTGACTTTTATCAAACAAATTAAATGCAGAATCTGGACTGAAAACTCTAAGACAGATTTTAGTGCTTGGACCCTACAATTGGTTCTGTATTAGATAAACTAGGTTTGGACAGATTCAACTGTAAACAGATAAGGAAGAGAGTCCCGTCTCTGGAAATACAATGTGGCTTTGGGTATATTCTGTGGAGTCTGGTGAACTCTGGATGATGCTATCCCTGATGCTCTGACCTTGTGTAATATATCATCTACACCATGCACTACAAATGTACATCCATCTCATCTACTTCCTTACTTACCTTCTTACAGTCTTGCATAAAATTCATATGTTAGGCTAAAACATGGTCTTGGTTCTCAGGCACCGCCTGCATCATCATCTCGTCAAGTTTCATTTTTATTTTTACAAAAAACAAAACAAACAAAACCTAGTCCAACAGTAGTCAAATACTGTATTGCAGTATTTTACTCATCAAGGAATACATTTATGTTAGAAGGCCCTTTCCCACAACTGTTTATTTGGTTAACCAAAAAAACAAAACAAAAAACAATGCCTGCACTATATTTTCCAAAGCCACTGCCTGAGAACCAGTTATTTTATTTTTAAGCCTCTTAATGTTTGGTTTCTGAACCCAGACAGAAATAAACCCCAAATATGTATGTTTTTGAGACGTGATGAGATGTACGCGGAGATGTGCACATACGTTTTACCATGTCTGACCATCGCCAGCTATGGGGAGATTCAGGATTCTTACAATCATCAATCAGACAACAGTGTTCTGCTTCCACTCCTAGAGATGCATTACAATCAATGGAACATTCACAGCCACACAATATTCATCGTCAATTCGTCACAGGTTTGTAAACATTAGTCCTCCATGCCATCCTTTACAGAGAATACATTCGGCTGCTATGCCTTGCAGTAGTGATGAGTGTCTTTCTGTAAGCTAATCAAATGAGTGCGCTTATGACTCTCTGAAGTCAAATGGCAGCCCTGCGCTGTGCGACTATGCACTGCCCTGCAAAGTGCGACTGTGCACGGCCCTTCACTGTGCGACTGTGCACGGCCCTGCACTGTGAGACTGTGCACGGCCCTTCACTGTGCGACTGTGCACGGCCCTGCAAAGTGCGACTGTGCACGGCCCTGCAAAGTGCGACTGTGCACGGCCCTGCAAAGTGCGACTGTGCACGGCCCTGCACTGTGAGACTGTGCACGGCCGGCCCTTCACTGTGCGACTGTGCACGGCCCTGCAAAGTGCGACTGTGCACGGCCCTTCACTGTGCGACTGTGCATGGCCCTTCACTGTGCGACTGTGCACGGCCCTTCACTGTGCGACTGTGCACGGCCCTGCAAAGTGCGACTGTGCACGGCCCTGCAAAGTGTGACTGTGCACGGCCCTTCACTGTGCGACTGTGCACGGCCCTTCACTGTGCGACTGTGCATGGCCCTGCAAAGTGTGACTGTGCACGGCCCTGCAAAGTGCGACTTGTTGCAAACCATGACCATGGTAAAAAATAAATGATGACACTGCATAGCACGGGTATTCACAGGTGATGGAGGAATACAGTGTATACAAAACCATCAAGAATTGACGATGCACCACATTTTCAATTCCACGATTTGTATCACAATGTGACAACATTCAAACAGCCAGCAACTTGTCCCTAAAATGCCAGTCCAGGAACCGCTTCAACATGGGTTAGTTCAGCACCACTCTCGTTAGTTAACACATCTGCGGACTGGTCAGACGACCAGCATCCATCTCCACCAACCACAGCAACCTCCACAACTACTGGCAGCGGTCAGCAAATACTTCCTGCAATAACGAGTCTAATTGGCAAAGATGTCTCCCATGGGTATCCATATATTCTTGACCTGTATGGAGTGGAACAGAAACTCCTCCCCCTGCCCAGCCTCAACCTCAGACCAGTTGCGACTCACTCCGTAGTTGACCCATGTCCGCTTGATGTTGTCAGCAGAAGCGTACTCCACGAACTTGGACCCTTCCGGAGATCCGAAGTACCACATGGCCTGGACGTCCTGATGCTCAGCGAGGTATTTGGTAAGATGGTTACGGTCGCCGGTGATGATGTTCACCACCCCGCCGGGGACATCAGACGTGTCAAACACCTATAACAGTAACGTCATCAACTTTGTACAATCAGCACATTCACATTGCCCCATTATCCACCAAGGGATTGAGTGAATGTTATTTTCTGCCTCAGTGAGTGAGTGAGTGAGTGAGTTTGGTTTAACGCCGCTTTTAACAGTATTCCAGTTATATCGCGGCATGTCAGTTTAATGTGGGAGAAAATCCCGAGGTGATGCAGGTCTCAAATGTTTATCACTTTGGTGAAACCAACAATGGGTATGATGATGACCCGTGCCCCCTTCTGCCTCGGCCTGTAATAACCTATCCAGAATTCTGTAACGGAGAAATCATGAGAATATATTGATTCCAGGTGTAGACTCAACAAGCTCCAAAGTGGCAAGTTGATTCCACTTTTGGAATCAACAAATGTGTGTAACTTCTTCTACTAAACCAAGTTATGGTAGATATATAATCTCATTAAAATCAGATCTTAGTTCTCTCTACCGATGAACAAAGATCTAAGGACATCCCATTGCGTGTCATGTCAGAAAGACCTTTCATCTGACCAATCACAGCATCGCTTATCAGATCATGAAAGTGACAGTTGGAATGTGATTTTTTATTGTGCAACCGCGAAAAAAAAAACCACACAGGGTATTCCGAAAGATAGTTATGGTCTTTATGTCTGTATTCATACAATCTAGACGATCTATTAGCCATTCCAGAATGTTCTTTTGTTCAGTTTATATTTTTTAATTGAGTATATGACAGAATATCTTTCGAAGCGTAGTCGCCAGTTTGAAACTTGTGCCATAAAGCTCGATTAAGCTGCCTTCTGATTGGCTATTGTCAACTTCTTGTCAGTCATTCAATTAGCCGGTCAAAGTTCGCGAAAGGTCGTTCTGAAGTGACCCATAATGGGATGTCCTCAGATCTTTGTTTGGCGGTAGCGAGAACTAAGATCTGATTTTAATGAGATTGGGTAGATATATAACATTTCTAAAATTTCTCATCATGGCCTATAGCTGCATCAGTTTAATTTGCTAAAATGCATGTTCAAAATGGCCAGTCAAATTCCTGGCTCAGAATCAACTGCAACAACAATAGATTGACAGCATCATAATGGTCATCTAAAGCTTCATATCATTGGTGAATTCCCCGATCTGTGTACATTTCCTACAATTCACAGAGGATCTTACTATTACATTTTGCCAAATGTAACAAATAATGCCAAACTGACCTTGTATAAATATCACCCTTCTAACCCTGAGAAGAAGTCTGTTCTGGCTGTGCCACATAGTGAGTGAGTATGGTTTTACGCCGCTTTTAGCAATATCCCAGCAACATCACGGCGGGAGACACCAGAAATGGGCTTCACACATTGTACCCATGTCGGGAATCGAACCCGGGTGATCGGCGTGACGAGCGAACGCTTTAACCACTAAGCTACCCGACCGCCCCTGTGCCACATAGTAAAATGGTAATGTGATAACAACAACAACAACGCACCACCAACACAGGCAGCATCCCGTCTACAAGGGCTCATTTGCTACAAAATACAAACTAGTATCTTTTGATACACAAAGCTACACCCACCTGATATAAGTCAAGGGCAACAAGTGGATGCTTCTCGCTGGGGATGATGACAACAGCGTTCCCTCGGATCACAGCGGGAGCAAAGAGGGAGACAAAGCCCAGCAGTGGATACTCATCCGGACACGCGATGCCGATCACTCCCACGGGTTCATGGATCTTGACAGTAGCTCCATACAGGGTTGTCTCCTTGAGAAAAGATGAAGAACATTATTTAGACTTGTTGCTTCATCTCACATATCTCATGTTTGTTTGTTTGTTTGTTTGTTGTTTAACGCTGCACTCAGCAATATTCCTGCTATATGACAGCGGTCTGTAAATAATCAAGTCTGGACCAGACAATCCAGTGATTGACATCATGAGCATCGATCCATGCATGCAACTGGGATACGATGGCATGCATCAACCAAGTCAGCAAGTCTGACCACCCGATCCCGTAAGTCGCCTCTTACGACAAGCATAGTCACCTTTTACGGCAAGCATGGATTGCTGAAGACCTATTCTACCACCGATCTTCAGGGGTCACATATCTCATGACAGAAATCCAATGATGCACTGGAAATCATGTTCCAAGACAGTAGTGAATTAACTTAAGATTTACCCCACAGAAATATACAAGCAATGTTTTAATGGAAGCCACTGCCTTAAAACGACTATGATTTGTTTTATTTCAGGCTTAATTCAATATATAATACACATATAATTATATACAGGTAAATATTTCATAAATAATTTGCACCAAAAATATTTTTGTCCAGTAGACCAACAAGTCTTTCAGAGACATTTTCAGAATTTATTCTTTTTCTACGGACTATTATAATTGTAGCTACATGAACCGAAATAAATTTTACCAGACAGTGGATGAGTGGCTGAAGTCACAGACTGCATATATATCACACTTTATACAACATACTACAACAAACTACTTCTGAATGACTCTCACAGTTCCTCCACACTATCATGTACTGACGATATCAGGTGAAGAAGTCTGACACTCCACTGAGCCATGACGACCGTAACTCACCTGTACACTGCCTCCGTACTTGTCACAGTACGCCCCCCAGTAGAACAGCCTCTGTACAGCCTGGTCCACCTCCTGCCGACCGGCATCCAGTGGCTGACCGGTCATGGCACAGATCCTCTGAGCGATCTCCTCACGCCTCACCTCCAGGTTTTCCGCCAGGTAGTACACAATCTGTGCGCGGTTGTGTGCCGCCCGCTTCCCCCACCTGCAACATGCCCACACAGACTGTACACAAACATGTCGACTCACATTTCGGTGAGTGAGTTGGGTTTAACGCCACTTTTAACAGTATTCCAGTTATATCGCGGAGTATCAGCTTAATGTGGGAGGAAAGCCCGAAGTGATGCAGGTCTCAGACGTTTACCACTTTGGTGAAACCCACTAGTACGGGTATGGTGCTGACAAACCTAGAAACATAATCGGGGCGAACCGGGATTCGAACCCACAATCATAGGTGTCTGGCGTGCCCAAGGGACGCAACTCTGCACAGCGAATCGCAGCGCCTTAGACGACTGGGCCACCTGTCACGGCTTATATCTGATCCACTGACTGTCTTGTTTGTTTGATTGTTGTTTAATGCCGCACATAATATTCCAGCTATATGACAGCGGTCTGTTAAAAATCGAGCCTGGGTCAGACAATCCAGTGATTGACATCATGAGCATCGATCTACACAATTTGGATACAGTGACATGCATCAATCAAGTCAGCGAGCCTGACCACCCGATCCCGTTAGTCGCCTCTTACAACAAGCATAGTCGCCTGTTACAGAAAGCATGGGTTGCTGAAAACCTATTCCCTACCCTTCCCATTCCTTCCCAGGCCGATCCACACCTTTACCTGGCCTGTTTCCTTACACAAGGACCAGAGTCTTCATTAATGGATTTGTCTCTTATATATAAACGTGATAGTTGTGTTCCAAAGTATAAATCATATGCTTTGTTTGTTTGTTGTTTAACGCTGCACTCAGCAATATTCCAGCTATATGACATCGGTTTGTAAATAATCGAGTCTGGACCAGACAATCCAGTGATTGACATCATGAGCATCGATCCACGCAACTGGTATACGATGACATGCATCAACCAAGTCAGCAAGCCTGACCAACTGCTGACCAACGGGATGTTAGTCGCCTCTTACGACAAGCATATTCGCCTGCTACGGAAAGCATGGGTTACTGAAGTTATTCCTACCCTTCCCATTCCTTACCAGGCCGATCCACTGACTGACACACTCAGGCGTATATATCCAGGGTTAGAAACTAACAGTTTTTGTCCACTAGTCCTTATAATGATAACATATAGCAAAACCCTTAAAATGGGCCAATTTCTACTAGTCCTTAGGATACCTTTACTATTGGGCAGTTTGGTAAGGACTACAGGACTAGTGCCAATTTCTAACGCTGTATATACTGACTGATACAACAAGTCCTATATTACTTTACAGGGGGAGGAGGTGGATGAGTGATTCTTACGGTACCTGATAGGATGAAATATTTATATGAATGCACAACAATCTAGCACCAGACAGCCAGCTTGAATTGTACACTCCCCAGGCAAATGAGAATACAATTTGAAGGCACCCTGATCTATTGACCTGGCATGATAATGTCATGCACTATGAGCATGTCCCTCTGTCTATTGTTTTCATTGTTTGTTTTTTTGTGTTTTTTTTTTTTTTTAAATCTTGGATTGTTTATTTTAATGAAATTTCTTTTTGTTCCAAGGGTTGTAGAGTAATACAGTATTCAATCAATATTTCGAATTGCATAGAATGACACAATACACATTTTAAAATTTAAAGGTTTTGAAAATAACAGTGTCACATTTCAAACTAAACAGGTTGCAATACACAATCATGTACCAATACATCACCAAAGGGCTAAGAGTCAGATGCTGAGAATAAAAGTGACTATTAAGTTATTATTAGCAATACATTTTAAGTGTCATGTTTTAAGTAGTTATCATTGTAATTATTACATGCACCCACCCAGGGGCAGCCTTGTGAGCGGCCTCAACAGCATTCCGGATATCCTTCCTGTTGCCATCACCAACATGGCCGACGACCTTCCCAGACATGCTCATCACTGGCCTAGTGTACTGGCCATCAGGTCTCTTCTGAGCTCCTCCGTAGTACATCTTGTATGTCCGGTCGATGCTGGAACACAACCTCAGTCATCAATGATAAGTCGAACATTCTTGTGTCACTTGTCACAACTATCAACTATTTAATTCCGTACACAGCTGTAAACCATTGATAGTTTGTTTGTTTGTTTGTTTGTTGTTTAACGCCGCACTCAGCAATATTCCAGCAATATTCCAGCTATATGACGGCGGTCTGTAAATAATCAAGTCTGGACCAGAGCATTCATACATCATGAGCATCGATCCACGCAATTGGGATCGATGACATGTATCAACCAAGTCAGCAAGTCTGACAACCCGATCCCGTTAGTCACTTTTTACGACAAGCATAGTCGCCTTTTACGGTAAACCATTGATAACTTCTGCTGCGCTCTGATTGGCTGCTCTTTCCCTTCCATCATTTAAGAGTAATTAATGAAAGGAACATGACATCATACCGTCACATGCCGGTGTATAACAATGTTCATTCTGCAGTGTCTGCAATGAGTGAGTGAGTCAGTTAGGTTTAACACTACTTTGAACAGTATTCCAGATATATCATGGCATGTCAGTTTAATGTGGGAGAAAATCCCGAGGTGATGCAGGTCTCAAATGGTTATCACTTTGGTGAAACCAACAATGGGTATGATGATGACAAACCAAGAAACATAATTGGAGCAACCCAGAATTCGAACCCACAATCGTAGGTTTCTGGCATGCTCAAGGGACACAACTCTGCACAGCAAATTGTGGCGTCTTAGACGACTGGGTGACCTGTGTCAGCAATGAAGAAGATCCAGGAGTATGGTAAGGTTGGGACCCTCTAAATCCCTTAACATTAGGGTAATAACAAGGACCCCTTGACTTTCATGCTTAATCAAAAACACTGTCATATTGTTTACATGAGATCAGGGTTGTACCAGACACAATTTAATGACCATACAATTAGAGAATGGACACAAATAAGTTTCATTGCAGGTCTTATGCCTCTTCAAATAATTACATTTATCAAAATTGTAGATTGAATTTTTACCAATCACTTTTGAGTTTCTATTGCGGTAAGTAATACACTCAAAATTAAGGGTGTCAGAGATTGATTTTCTTCAATCTAACATTGGAATGCCCCATCTATAATACACTATCTATAATACACTTAGGGGCGGTCAGGTAGCCTAGTGGTTAAAGCGTTCGCTCAGTCACGCCGAATACCAAGGTTCAATTCAGTCACCAGCCTGGTCCCCCATGTTCATTCCTTCGATCTCCAAACTGTATTAATTTAATGAGTGTCCCCTGGAGGTAAATTCCTGTGACAGTATCAGAAAATTATGGTGGTAGGGCAATGTCCTGTATATCCCACATTAATAACTCACTCTATAATAGGAAGTATTCATATGCAAGATATCATTCTTGCACAAGCTACAAGTACGTGAGGTGAGGTGAGGTGAATGGGGGTTAATGTCGCGTCCAAGATTATTGCACTAATACAGCGATGTGCAGGCACATCTGTGCGTGTGAGGCTACTTGTGCTGGTCCGGACTGATTCATAGTGCTAGCTCACTGAGATACCATGCCGCAGTTTAACATGAATACCCCATTCAGACACAGTATACTGACCCTAGTCGACCAGTCCTTGTTTTAGCCTGTTAATGCTTTTGGCATGACGTGACCAGGAATCGAACCCCGGACCTTCCACTCTCCGGGCGGGTGCTCTAACACTACACCACTGAGGCGGTCAAGCTACAAGTAAGTTTACTAGGGACACATTGCCTATGACTGTAATAATTATTTGCCTCAATATTTACCTTGGCATCTTGACCCCGTTGACCTGTATCTCGTTCTTGTCAATGTCATTGATGGTCGGCCGGCCTGGAACTGTTGCACCAAATGTCTTTATGTTGACTTGCACAATTCCCGGGCGTGGTCGTTCCTGCCACTCAGGGCGGACGTACTCATACAGGCCCTGATACATACATCACATAGTCAGTGTGGTTTGATACAACTGTTGCTCCTTGGCAGGCCAAGAAGTCAAGGATACATTGCTCTGTTTGTTGTTTTATGCAACAGTCAGACATATTCCAGCAATATCAGGAAGCCTTTTAATAAATAAGTCTGTCCTAGACAAACCATCTTCCCGAGGCAAGGTAGTTAACTGACTTTAAAAGTCAAGTTTCCAGCCTTGCTGAACTAGGCTGGAATTACTGGGCTCGATCATTGCCCAACTAGTGGCTATTACCAAGTATGTCCCTTCTAAGCCTCTCCTATGGACCAATCAGATTCCACCTCTCGTATCACTTGCGTTTGCTTCACACAAAATGGGGGCCCCCAGTCAGGAGGTTCTGATCGATAATCAAGACCTATATTGTGATAAAACAGGTCTTACATCGCGAAGTGCATCAAATCACGTGAGCACCTTGATTAAAAACATGAAAGGATTTGGAAAATATCTGCTGACAACATGATGCATCATGACACTAACTACATCATGAAACATGGTGTGTCATGAAACAAGTAACTACATCATGAAACATGATGCATCATGACACTAACTACATCATGAAACATGGTGTATCATGAAACAACTAACTACATCATGAAACATGGTGTGTCATGAAACAACTAACTACATCATGAAACATGGTGTATCATGAAACAACTAACTACAGCATGAAACATGGTGTGTCATGAAACAACTAACTACAGCATGAAACATGGTGTATCATGAAACAACTAACTACAGCATGAAACATGGTGTGTCATGAAACAACTAACTACAGCATGAAACATGGTGTATCATGAAACAACTTACTACATCATGAAACATGGTGTATCATGAAACAACTAACTACATCATGAAACATGGTGTATCATGAAACAACTACATCATGAAACATGGTGTGTCATGAAACAACTAACTACAGCATGAAAAATGGTGTATCATGAAACAACTAACTACATCATGAAACATGGTGTGTCATGAAACAACTAACTACATCATGAAACAACTAACTACAGCATGAAACATGGTGTGTCATGAAACAACTAACTACAGCATGAAACATGGTGTGTCATGAAACAACTAACTACAGCATGAAACATGGTGTGTCATGAAACAACTAACTACATCATGAAACATGGTGTGTCATGAAACATGGTGTATCATGAAACAACTAACAACATCATGAAACATGGTGTATCATGAAACAATGTACTACATCATGAAACATGGTGTGTCATGAAACAACGTACTACATCATGAAACATGGTGTATCATGAAACATGGTGTATCATGAAACATGGCGTATCATGAAACAACTAACTACATCATGAAACATGGTGTATCATGAAACGTACTACATCATGAAACATGGTGTATCATGAAACATGGTGTATCATGAAACAACGTACTACATCATGAAACATGATGTATCATGAAACAACTAACTACATCATAAAACATGGTGTGTCATGAAACAACGTACTACATCATGAAACATGATGTATCATGAAACAACTAACTACATCATAAAACATGGTGTTTCATGAAAAAATACTACATCATGAAACATGGTGTATCATGAAACAACTAACTTCGTCATGAAACATGGTGTATCATGAAACTAACTACATCATGAAACATGATGTATCATGAAACATGGTGTATCATGAAACAACGAACTACATCATGAAACATGGTGTATCATGAAACATGGTGTATCATGAAACAACGAACTACATCATGAAACATGGTGTATCATGAAACTTGGTGTATCATGAAACATGGCATATCATGAAACATGGCGTATCATGAAACAACTAACTACATCATGAAACATGGTGTATCATGAAACAACGTACTACATCATGAAACATGGTGTATCATGAAACAACGTACTACATCATGAAACATGGTGTTTCATGAAACAACTAACTACATCATGAAACATGGTGTATCATGAAACAACGTACTACATCATGAAACATGGTGTATCATGACACATGGTGTATCATGAAACATGGCGTATCATGAAACAACTAACTACATCATGAAACATGGTGTATCATGAAACAACGTACATCATGAAACATGGTGTATCATGAAACAACGAACTATATCATGAAACATGGTGTTTCATGAAACAACTAACTACATCATGAAACATGGTGTATCATGAAACATGGTGTGTCATGAAACAACGTACTACATCATGAAACATGGTGTATCATGAAACATGGTGTATCATCAAACATGGCGTATCATGAAACAACTAACTACATCATGAAAGATGGTGTATCATGAAAGGTACTACATCATGAAACATGGCGTATCATGAAACAACTAACAACATCATGAAACATGGCGTATCATGAAACAACTACATCATGAAACATGGTGTATCATGAAACAACTAACTACATCATGAAACATGGTGTATCATGAAACATGGCATATCATGAAACATGGCGTATCATGAAACAACTAACTACATCATGAAACATGTTGTATCATGAAACATGGCATATCATGAAACATGTTGTATCATGAAACAACTAACTACATCATGAAACATGTTGTATCATGAAACAACTAACTACATCATGAAACATGTTGTATCATGAAACAACTAACTACATTATGAAACATGGTGTATCATGAAACAACGTACTACATCATCAAACATGGTGTATCATGAAACATGGTGTATCATGAAACAACGTACTACATCATGAAACATGTTGTATCATGAAACAACGTACTACATCATGAAACATGGTACACAACTGCCTCATTGTTTCCTTATCCGGTGAATGATGAAGGGACAAGAAGAAGCCCTGCCACTGCTCACCTCTTTGCCCCCGTCTCTGCCGTAGCCGCTCTGCTTGTAGCCACCGAAGCCAGCCGCAGCATCAAAGAGGTTGTGAGCGTTGACCCACACAGTCCCGGCCTTGATGCTGAGGGCGACCTCCATGGCCAGACTGATGTTCTCCGTCCACACACTGGCCCCCAGGCCGTACCGGGTGTTGTTAGCCAGGGCCACGGCCTCCTTGGCTGTCCGGAACGGCATCGCCACCAGTACAGGCCCAAACACCTGTCAGGAGAAACACACTAACAGGATCAGTGGGGAAATTATCACCATGGTTACCATGTTATGTGGTCCAAGATTCCTTCTAACACAGGCATGTGCCCAAAGTATGTACTACACTGAAGCTGTGATTAACTTGTCAAAAAGATAAGAATGACTCTTTTGAATCATTCTGGAATATTGAGCTAAGCATAAATTAATATACTATTATTTTAATCTGACGAGTGAATGAGTGAGTGAATAAGGTTTTACGCTGCTTTTAGCAATATTCCAGCAATATCACGGCGGGGGACACCAGAAATGGGCTTCACACATTGTACCCATGTCGGGAATCGAACCCGGGTCTTCGGCGTGACGAGCGAACGCTTTAACCACTAGGCTACCCGACCGCCCTTAATCTGACGAATCATCTATCATGTTATTATTGGTTGTGATGGACTCTCAAAATTGTAACTATCCCGATAGAAAATTCACACAGGGCATCAAGAAAACTGATTTTTTTTTTTTTTAAAGAGATGTGAAATATAATAGAATATGAGTTACTACTATCTGTACACTGGGTATAGTGTTTGTTTGTTTGTTTGTTTGTTTGTTTGTTTGTTTGTTTGTTTGTTTGCAATATTCCAGCTATATGATCATGATGATGGCGGCCTGTAAATGATAATAATTTTGCCTGGAACAGACAATCCAGTGATTGATAGTATGAGCAACAACCCATACTGTTTGGGAATAATGCCACCCAATCAACAATGCCAACAAGTCTGACCACCCAATCCATTAGTTGCCTCTAACAACCAGCATAGGTTGTTGGTGGTCAAGTCTATGTACTGAAAATATGAGGTCAACATGATATATATGTTTTGCTACTCACCTCCTCGACAACCACCCTGGACACTGTCTGGACATTGGTGATGAGGGTAGGGGGGTAGAAGCATCCCCTTGCCGGTACACACGCACTGGCCTGGTACACCTGGAGCATGTGACAGACTATTAAGAATACAGGTATGTGTAACAATGTACTTCCCCAAGGTACTGTAAAACGTAAAATTAATGTGAGCGTGAATTAATTGCGAAAAATGCGAGTGGTCTTTGCTCGCACTATTAAACATCACATTTATATCAACAATAAGACATTTTGGATTGCAAAAATACCAACTTAGACATACACTGAAAACAAACAACTATGTATTCCACATCACTGTTTATTGAGCAGCACTTGTAACAAGTGTATAAACGTCATTCAAACACTAATTACATCCTGTGAATTGTCACTGCTGGGGTCAAGAAAAGCGTTCTACTCGCTCATGTCATCACTGATCACACATGCAAGTCCAGACAGACGCCACCGAACACGGTGTCTTTGCTCTTTGCGACTACATCAAAGGCTGACACGAGCCAGCACACACGTATTGTTTTAGCTGACGTACTCTACTCAGCGCTGATAAGCGCTGCTATTTGGTGTGTGATTGGATTAATGTAAGGTTGGATAAGGTGAGGATTCTCCTGTAAACCTGACAGGACATTTTGTTTAGATATAAATCCACTGATGCTTGAGAGGACTGGGTGTTGCATTCATATTGAGTCACATTTTTGGCTAGGGGCCAGCGGTCGCATTCTTTTGGAGACGCATTAATTTCACGTTTTACAGTATTTGGTAGTGAGGCGGGAGGTGATGATATTATTGGATCTTGATATATTGTTTTCTACTTTAACGCAGCACTCAGCAATATTCTAGCTATATGACAGCAGCCTATAAATATTCAAATCTGGATCGATAGTGATCGATGTTGTGATCAACACAGCTGGGGTACAATGACATGCCATCCACCACCAAGTCTCCAATCCTGAACACCCAATCCATGTGGCAGCCTCTTATGACCTGCAGTTTTGTTTTGTTTTTCTTTGTTTGTTGTTTAACGCCTCACATAGCAATATTCAAGCTAAATGACGGCAGTCTGTAAATAATTGACCCTGGACCAGACATTCCAAAACTGACATGATGAGCATCGATCTGCACAATTGGGATATGATGACATGCATCAACCAAGTCGGGAAGCACCTGCATAGGAACCCCCACGAGACCTTGATATATTAAGTCCCAGTTGGGAGCATTTCACCATATTAGTGAGGTTACAATGTAGTACAATGTAGTACAATGTAGTACAATGTAGTACGTAATCCAAGAAACATGATTCTCATTGTCCTAGCCTGCTATGAACTTTTGTCCAGGTGCTTAATGAGAATATCTCTCACCTCAGCCCCTTCTGTTTTGGCGTGTTCTACAAACTCCTCTACTGAGCGCTTCTGACTGTCGTCCACGATGGCTCCCATGTCAATAGCTTTGTCCAGATTGTTACCTAAACGGAAGTGGGTCAGTCTATCTTTCAGTTTCTGGATCAACTTATCATAGATTGACTCCTGTGCCAGCAGTCTTGACCCCGCACTGCACACCTGAAAGACAACACAGGTAAGTGAACTAAAGATCACATTATGATGCTGTGAGAGAGTACGAGTCAGATTGGTTTAATGCAGCTTTGAATCGTATTCCAGTTATATCAGTGTTTAATCACATGACTGTTTGTTTGTTTGTTGTTTAACGCCACACTCAGAAATATTCCGACTATATGACAGTGGTCTGTAAATAATCGAGTCTGGACCAGACAATCCAGTGGTTCACATCATGAGCATAGATCCTCACCATTGGGATCAATGACATGCATCAAACCAGGTCGGTGAGTCTGACCACCCGATCCCATTAGTCGCCTTTTACGACAAACATAGTCACCTTTTACGGCAAGCATGGGTTGCTGAAGACCTATTCTACCCCGGATCTTCAGGGGTCCACATGCACTGAAATAGGACAGTTTGAAAGGTCTTATGAGGTGAGGTGAAGAAATGGGGTTTAACGTCTCGTCCAAGATTATTGCACTTATATAGCGACGTGCATGCACGTGTGTGTGTGTGTGTGTGTGTGTGTGTGTGTGTGTGTGTGTGTGTGTGTGTGTGTGTGTATGGCTGCTTGTACTAGTCCGGACTGATGCTGATTTATAGTGCTAGCTCACTGAGATACCATGCCGCAGTTTAACATGAATACCCCACTCAGACACAGTATACTGACTCAGAGCCAACCAGTCCTTGTTTTAGCCCTTTAATGCCGAGCGCCAGACAGGGTAACATCAAGTACCATCTTTTAATGTCTTTTGGTATTACGCAGCCAGGGATCGAACTATGGACCTTCCGCTCTCCGGGCAGACGCTCTACCACTAGACCACAGAGGCGGTCCGAAAGGTCTTATGATCAACCAGTGGGTGTTTCTTGGATGGTTAGAACAGATATAGAGATTACAACACAAGTGTCTGACAGCTCTCTAAGAATGAGTTATAAGATAAATGGTACATGACAGGCACATGACTCTGTTTCTTAAACACTCTTAGATAGCACCCCCTTTGACAAATTGTGGTTTTCTAGGACCTTAGGTCAGCACCATGGTGAAGCCTATCAGATTTTGAAACCGATCTCACACGTTTGATACCAGTCATCTCAAATGGGTTTCTCACCCACAGGTGTGTAAGAAGGGCCTCAGGGAATCTGCGTACCTGTGACAGTGTCTCATGGGTTTGTTGAGCTACTTGAACATACTGTAAGGGCTCCCAGTATAGATCGACCTGTGTCTTATCATGACAGGGGGTGGTTGGGTAGCCTAGTGGTTAAAGCGTTCGCGCGTCACGCCGAAGGCTCAGGTTCGATTCCCAACATGGGTACAATGTGTGAAGCCCATTTCTGGTGTCCCCCGCCATGATATTGCTGGAATATTGCTAAAAGCGGCGTAAAACCAAACTCACTCACTTATCATGATAGCGCATCGCTGAAGCTCTAAACCAGAATGGTAGCATCTACCATCAGGTGTCTGTAACACAAGGGTCAGCAGAAGGCGGGGTTCAACAGCTACTCACCTGTCCTTGGTTGAACCAGATGGCGTCAACAATACCCTCGACCGTGGAGTCCAGATCTGCCGACTCAAAAACAACAACAGGGGACTTTCCCCCTAACTCTAGGGACAGCTTCTTGCCACTCCCAGCCGTGACATGTCGCAGGATCTGTCCTACCTGAAGGATACCAGCATGGATACAAATAGCAAGAAACATATGGGTTTTGTTGATGGAGTCAATAGAAAGACAGCGTTAAAAATTGGCACTGGTCCTATAGTCCTTGCCAAACTGCCCAATAGTAAAAGCATCATACAGACAAGTAGAAATTTGCCATATTTAAGGCTTTGGCTATATGCTATCATTATAAGGACTAGTTTATTAAAAATGATAGTTTCTACCACGAGAAAGACTTATATTGATTTGTTTTTACAGTGACAATACATGATGAAATTACTGGAAAGAAAGACAATAAATTTCAGGGGGTCATCAGTCCTTCATACTATGCTATCGTTAAACACTTTTCACATGCTTGATAAAGGTGCTTCTCAGGGCAGAAACTCTATCCAAAAGACAATGGAGGCCAAACAAACAAGATAAACTTTCTTCCTTGTACCTCGGTTGATCCAGTAAATGCTACTTTGTCTACATCAGAGTGACATGCGAGCTTGCTGCCGAAAGCCCCGCCCCCTGTCACAACATTGAAGACCCCCGGTGGCAAGCCCGCCTCGGCACATATCTCCGCGAACAGCAGCGCCGTCAGACGAGTGAATGTGGCTGGTTTCAGGATGACAGTGTTGCCCATGGCGAGGGCGGGACACACCTTCCAGGTGAGCAGCATCAGGGGAAAGTTCCATGGCACGATACCGGCAACCACACCTGCAGGTTCAGACACAGCCAAGTCAACACTGAGACAATACATCAACTTAGTACCTACAGAATAATATCTCTTCACTTAGTTACATGACAGCATATTTTATTGTTAAACAATGATTGTAACTGTATTACACTGTTGAGAATCGGTAGAAGCTCATTGCTTTGTATTTGCACTTAGTTGTCAAGAATGTAGTGCTGCAATCTCATTAAAATCAGATCTTAGTTCTCGCTACCGCTTAACAAAGATCTGAGGACATCCCATTACGGGTCACGTCAGAACAACCTTTCGCAAATTTTGACAGACCAATGAAATGACTGACAAGAAATTGATATTTGCCAATCAGAAGGCAGCTTTCTCGAGCTTTACGACACTAGTTTCAAACTGGCGACTACGCTTCGAAACATATTTTGACGTATACTTGATTAGAAAAATTAAAACTGATAAGAAGAACATTCTGGAATGGCTTATAGATGGCCTAGATTGTATGGATATAATCATAAAAACGTCTGTTGTTCGGAATACCCTGTGTTAAATATTTCGTGGTTGCATGATTAGCAAACACATTCCGACTGTCACTTTCATGATCTGGTAAGCGACGCTCTGATTGATTGGATGAAAGGTCGTTCTGATGTGACCCGTAATGGGATGTCCTCAGATCTTTGTTTAGCGATAGTGAGAACTAAGATATGATTTTAATGAGATTGGTAGTACTGTTTAATGTAAGTAGTTTTGAGGAAGTTAGTAAATTTAGATGCTTGTGTCATGTGTAAACTTTCGGCAAATAGAGATCGAGTTTAACAGAACCATGTGGAATATTCTATGTTGTGAGGGAACTGTGTGGAAATTTCCAGTAGCTAGTTAGACTGTATATAAGGGGACAAGACCATGGATGAATATACTTTTATCACAGACTTTTGCTTTCACCACTGTATTTTTATATTTGATACTGTCCACTGCCATCGCATCGTTTACCGTCATTGAATATTGTACTCCCACCCTATTATGTACTACCACCCTATTATGTACTACCACCCTATTATGTACTACCACCCTATTATGTACTACCACCCTATTATGTACTGCCACCCTATTATGTACTGCCACCCTATTATGTACTGCCACCCTATTATGTACTACCACCCTATTATGTACTACCACCCTATTATGTACTACCACCCTATTATGTACTACCACCCTATTATGTACTACCACCCTATTATGTACTGCCAATATGTATTGATTTGTAAACCTAGATAATTTTGTAATACATTTGTTGATTGTGTTCCATTTGTTGGTAGTTTGTTGGTTTCACACTCAGTTCTTTAACATACACATTTCTGGGTAAACATACTGTTTTAATTTGGGAAGCGACACGTTACAACTTTTAATGTGATAGTTAAACACAGGGCGCGATTTGAGGAACTTAATTTAACTTAACCAGGTGTATGTTGACATGAAAACTTAGTTGCACCAAACAAAATCAGGTTGCTCTCTTGTCCCATAAATTTAGATGACGTATAGATACTTAAACTAAATAAGCAGAATCTACAATCTCTGATGACTGAGTCATGATCTTACGAAATATAGCTGTAAAACGTAATAGGCACACAGTGAGTGAGTGAGTGAGTCAGTCAGTCAGTCAGTGAGTGGTCATATTGTAGGCAATATTAGGTGTAGGCCATATGAGGGCAAGCCATATGAAATCACCGACAGTTTTCAGCAAAATAATGCAAGCCAAGCCCCACCCACCCCATTATTATCAGCCAATCAGGAATCAATAGACAGATTGCGCACATGACCTGATTTGTTTTCAGTTTATGGGATCATAAACTTTAACAACTGATGTTCGGTTGGCCATTCATATGCCCTGGAATAAAAAATCAGTAGACAGCTTGTGAACATGGCATAATTTGTTTTCAGATTATGGGATCATAAATGCCAAAACAATTAGCTGGTTGGCAATTTAAGTGCCCTGGAATCACTTGCAATATATTTTCAATAGTAATAAACAGATATATCAGTGAGCTAAAACTGCAGCATGTTGGTCCTACTTACCAACAGGTTTCCACCCTTTCATCTCCGTTGGCATGAGCTCTGCCCAGCCGGCATGGTGGTAGAAATGGCGCACTACGATTGGGATGTCAGCGTCTCTCGTCTCACGGATGGGTTTGCCATTATCCATCGCCTCCACCACACTGAGTAGCCGCTGGTGTTTCTGGACATGTCGGGCTATGCTGCAGAGCAGGAACAATCATTGTCAGAAAGAATAAGCCACAGAATATTCTGTTGTCAAAACATGGCTTTCAGTCCAGGTGTTACCATGGTTATAAATTCCAATCAGAGTCCTCATTGGCGCCACACTGATCGTCCCTTAGTTTAACATTGACTTATGGCAATCTTACTGCTCAAATCACTTTGTGCAAGTGGGACCAGGACAGACTAATATGGAATAGACTACCATGAAATAATTCAGTTATGAAGAAACAAATATTTTACAAATAGAAATGATGTATTTTATTGAAAATAGGCATTTCAAACAGCCTCTAGCCAGCCACATTCACTTGTCTGGCAGTGTTACAGTTCAAGGAATTAACCTCAAATTCTCCCTGATATCACTTTTGTTTTGTCTCCAGTTTCTGGCATGGCAAGCAACAAACTCAACATACCAGGAAACAACTATATCATGTATATTCAAATATATCTTTGAACAAAAACACTTGTGTCTCACAAATTATCACACAAACGAGTGAGGGAATGCGTTAAGCTTAACGCCGCTTTGAACAGTATTCCCGTTATATCATGCCTTGTCAGCTTGATGGTGGGAGGGACACCTGAAGTGATGCAGGTCTCAGACGTTTACAACTTTAGTTAAACCCACAAGCAGGGGTATGGTGCTGACAAACCAAGAAACATAATCTCTATCATCGGTTTCTGGCGTGCCGAAGGGACATAACTCTGCACAGCGAATTTTGGCACTTAAACGACTGGGTGACTCGTGTCCCCTTATCACACTAGTAACGTGCATGGTTAATGTTCATCCCTATCCTACATGTCCTGTAACTTTGTTGATATATAATGGGAGCACGGGTTTGCCCAGTCGTCTAAGGCGCCACGATTCGCTGTGCAGAGTTGTGTCCCTTTGGCATGCCAAAAACCTATGATTATGGTTTCAGTCCCGGTTCACCCTTTATGTTTGTCAGCACCATACCCGTGCTCGTGGGTTTCACCGAAGTGGTAAACGTCTGAGACCCGCATCGCTTCGGGCTTTCCTCCCACTCACTCATTTAGTATATAATGAGATCTCTACCTGTACAGATGCCTGGCCCTCACGTGAGGGGGTGCATCACGCCAGTCGTCCAGTGCATTTCTCGCTGCACTAACAGCACATTCAACATCTGCTTCCTCACCCTGGATGGTTGAGGCTAAGATCTCACCTGGAAATAAAAATACATACCTCACTCTGCTGCAGTGCATGTGAACATGAACCTAGTACTTCCTGAATGCACAGTCTTTGATGTTCACAAAACTGTATGACACATATTGCATATTCGACAATGAGAGAGTAGTGTTGTTGAAATGCCATTGCTTTATTTGTATCCAATCATACCACATTCATACCAAATCTTGGTATTTCCCAGCATCCCATCACTAAGAATATCTTAAGCAAAGAAACTTAAATCAAAAACTTAGGCTATAAACACTCAAACAGTGACACATGAAACTTTGCAGTGGAAACTATGTATTGATTGCCAGAATAATCAGAGCCATGTATAATGCAAACAGAACATTTCTTAACTGTACATGTAACTATTAATTTCAAATATTTTTTCCCACTTTTAAAATTTTAAGATTGAAGCAGCTTGTCTATTTTCATGAAAAACTGTCAATGCTTTTACAGCTGTTCAATGTTGTCTTATAATTTAATGTCCCATAACTCTGTCTCTATCTGCAGCAGTGTATACAATAAAGATACACAGGGAATCAATTAATAGGTATTAAGGTAGCAGTGAGAGGAAAAAAAGGATCTTCTTCAACAATCAATATATATGACATTTCACTGTGCTTCCAACATCACAACTGCAAATTCAAAGGAGTCGATATTCATGCTTTTGATATGTCTGACAGGTGTCACCATTCAATACTACCACTGTAAACACCCCTGTCTACACTCTACATGCTCCAGCAGTCAGGTTCATAACTTGTTTACACTACCTGTTGCAGGGGACTTGGTTTGGTAGTATTTGCGTCCCTCAGGTTTGTGCCATTTGCCATTGATGAAATGTCCAAATTCCCTCTTATGGTCATCTAGCCATGCCTGTAATAAAACAATCGATCTAGCTGCCATCAAGGCCAAAGACACATACAGAGCATATACGTGATGTATGACTGACTATCGTGAGCAAGCATGGTTGTTGTTTGTTTGTTTGTTTGTTTGTTGTTTAACGATGCACTTAGCAATATTCCAGCTATATGACAGCGGTCTGTAAATAATCGAGTCTGGACCAACAATCCAGTGATTGACATCATGAGCATCGATCCATGCAATTGGGATCGATGACATGCATCAACCAAGTCAGCGAGCCTGACCACCCGATCCCGTTAGTCGCCTCTTACGACAAGCATAGTCGCCTTTGACGGCAAGCATGGGTTGCTGAAGACCTATTCTATCCCGGATCTTCATGGGACACCAGCAAAGTTGTGAACTGGCAATGGTAGAAATTAATCTGAAATGAATAGTGACAACATATAATAACACCTCCAAAGAGCCTAAAATTTTACTAGCCCAATTACCTTTACCCAAAACATGTTCATGAAGTTAATTGAACTGATTCAGTTTTATGGACTAATGGGTTATACAAATTGTTGCCCTGTACTGAAATGAAAATGTTAAATGAAAATGTCAATCCAAAAGGTATGAATCTGAGAGACGGTTATATTTGATTGTGATTGTGAAGGTGGAATAATGCGGCAGTCAGGAAACAGGACATTTTGTGTCCCAGTAGTTTTGTATCCCAGTAGTTTTGTATCCCAGTAGTTTTGTGGCCCAGTAGTTTTGTATCCCAGTAGTTTTGTATCCCAGTAGTTTTGTGGCCCAGTAGTTTTGTGGCCCAGTAGTTTTGTGGCCCAGTAGTTTCATATCCCTTGTGTCAATTTGTAACCCGGTAGTTTTGTATCCTATATGTTGTTTCATGACCAGGTTAATTTGTTTCGTAAAAGGCTTTTTTTCAAGGAAAGGAATTTATGTTAGCACCTGGCAATAACGGCTAGTTTTAGTAGAATATACGAAGTGGTTCACATAAGAGTAACATTAAACATAAGCCAAAAGGGAACAGTACCAAATGTACCTATGTGGAAGTAAGTAGACATATTTTGCATCTACTTTGCCATACATCAACTTCTCAGAAATGTCTTTCAAACAATATGTGGAAGTAGATACTTCTAAATGTTCTAGTAGCATACTTTAACACAGAACTTGGCTCCCATCTTAATAAATTTATGTGACATTTTTCATGCAGATATGCCTGCAAATTGTTAAGCACAAATATATGTGATGCAATTTAAGCAATCGAGGGTAACAAAACTTACAATAGTATCACAATATGAAATGATACAGAACTGCCGGGGACCTGAGGACATATCATATATATTCTGACCTAAGATAGGCAATGATAATAGAAACACTTATGGGGCAAACAAGTCAGTACTCAGCAAACATGATAAGAGTAGCTTTGCCACACAGAGAGCTGTGCCCCACTTACTGGACTTCAACTCCTAACAAGGATATGCCCTTTACCCTCTGTTCCTGTCAACAAGAAAAATGCACGAGACATTTTAAACAGGCACTTGAAAAGTTCAAAACCTTGAAAATGTGCATATAGTTTTAATGAGATATGGACATATCCACTTACTGATAACCTTACACTACGAAGGTCAATCAACTAATTAATAGTTCAGATAAGTAACCAGTTTGGTGATACTCGTGCTGAAACTGATTGATGGTCTATTTTTAAACCGGTCAATATTTAACAGAATTCGTCTTTCACAAGGGTACAATTCTAAGTGCAACAAATCAAGGACATCACCTTTGCGACATTGTCAGCTTCTGGGGCTGGTCCGTAGGTTAAGTTTTCGAAAATATTTGACACACTATTGGAGGTTTGCCCACTCGCACCTGTGGCAGCCATTTTGAGAAGGTCAATGACGTTCCACCGTTGCGTACTTAGAACGATGTTGATTGGTGTAAATAAATCGGTCATTTGAGGTCAAGGTCTATAGCTGTAATCTTAACGGTGATTGGATCCATATGTCACCCGTAATGGCCGCCTCCATGTTGTAGCATGTTTATGTTTTGGTTGGGAACGAAAATTGCAATACATTTTGAGAAGCAGTCGATCTGACACTTTAAAATGACTTCTCTGCTGGAACCAAGCGCTGATGAAGCCCAGAGCCTGTTGAGTCGATTAATGTTAGATACGGTAAAAATATTCTTGATGTTGAAAATGAGTCCGTAGAAGTAGTTTCTAACCCAGGCCCCTGAAGTAGGATATAGTGACATTAAGGGTTCGGTGTGTCAGATATATGGCCATCTTCTGGGGCCTGTGACCCGGGCATTTTCACACGGACCTCGTATCCCGGGAATCGGACATGTATTCAATAACCTCACAGATCGAGTTGGGGATATCAATAAAACTAAACATATTTCTTAAAAAACAGAAACTCATCATTTTCACAGATAATTGTTCTCTTAATTTTAATCTCTAGCAAACTGCGTTGTTGCCATAAGAAGTATTTCTGATTATGTGTCTACTAACAATCCAAATACACAAAAAGAGGTGAGGCTTGAAAACATGTTATATGGAGATACATGTCTTACTATTATTACCTTGATTAAAATAATTATTTTTCCAAAAATGATTAGACAAATTGATTCTTGAAAATAAACACGTACCAATTAAGCACCTTGTTTAAAATTAGCTTTTTAAAATGAAGATCATGTGAAGACTTCATGAAAGTAAATCTTGCCATTTAATTCAGTCACCGCTTACAATCTATTTGTCATTTCTTCTAGAACTTTGATGGACAAACATGCATAAATCTTTTTCTTTATCAATAGTGGCTTGCATCCATTGGCAGATGACTAACTGTTGAAAAAATGTCTTATTGATGATAATGATAAAATATGAGATTGTGATATCAGGGATTAGGGCTGGGCCGAGTCCAAATTTACGACCTGTGTACCCAACTCGCTGTAGGTTTCAAGAGATGGGTATAAAATGTCCAATTGAGAATTGTTTGACTGGAGCTCAGGCAAGAAGTATTTAGATACACTTATGAAATGATCTGGTCATGCATACACTGAAGGTTGACGCAAGCATTATCTTCATTCAAACATGTAATGGTCAGAAGGAATGTGTGCATGTTCAGAAAGAAATGCAGACATCAGTGACTTGTTTTGTAATCATGAAGTTTTAAATAATTTTTGTTTTTAAACATTATATCATGTGACTTACCACAGGTCCGGATAGGCCTGTGGGTACCTGGGTACTACTCAGTACCCACCCAACCCAAGTACCCGAATGACCTGTCCCAGCCCTACCAAGGAAATTTGATATCAGTTTGAACAAAGTATTCCTTCCACAGAATTATGTAGTACTGAGAATTAACACAACTTTAATGTAGTTATACTACAATTTAGATACAACACCAATTTGAGTACGGGTATTATACCCCAAAAGAGGTGTGATCTGCCGTTGTCTTCAACCTGAAATATGATGACATACCATATTCGACATAATAAGAAGGAAGGGGTGCTAATTGGGATTGTTCACTAGCCAATACATTAGCAAATATCGCCTATGGCGTTTATTAGAGCGGGCAGCGTTAGAAATTGGCACTAGTCCTGTAGTCCTTACCGAACTGCCCAATAGTAAAGGTATCCTTAGGACTAGTAGAAATTGGCCTATTTGAAGGGTTTGGCTATATGTTATCATTATAAGGACTAGTGGACAAAAACTGTTAGTTTCTAACCCTGGCGGGGCGCTTATTATGTCGAATACGGTATATAGCTTTTAATTGAGAAAGTGTGATGTAGTTGTGAATACATTTGACCCTTGAAAACTTTTCCTTCGTTTCATTATTAACATCAATGAATTCAATCATGCATATGGAGATGATCAAGAAATGTTATCAACTCTTGCTATAATTTCAGGATCCTGCAGCAGGCAGTCCTATGGGGGGAGACCTTGTAAGCCAGCCGGAGGGGCCAGGGTACACCACACTAGTACCTAAACCAGGTAGGGACTGAGGACATGTTGCATGTGTAGAGCTTGAGCATGTTGAGTATGTCAATGAGTGCTCTGTGTGTTTGACAAGTACCGTATCCGACGTAATAAGCGCCCCGCTCTAATAAGCGCCCACAACGATATATGCTAACATATTGGCTAGTGAACAATCTCAATAAGCACCCCTTCCGCTTGATCAATGAACACAAGACTTATTTATTTGCGTATAATACGCACTCATGTATTATGTTCCTATTAATTATGGGAAATTAAATTCTGGAAAAATATATCTGTCGTATATAAACATTTCAGGCTGTCAGCATAAACCACGAAATTTATCCTTTAACTCTGGTTTTTTTCACCAAAATAATATTCTAATGAGAGCCCCCTATTTCTAATTTTGAGAGCGCCCTGGGCGCTTATTACATCCAATACGGTATATCTTTTGTCAATCAGAAGGTGATGCTGTAACCAAGATTACCTAGGGGCTATTGTACAAAATAAAGTTTCACAAAGTTTTTATTTGACTTGAGTGAGTGAGTGAGTTGGGTTTAACACCGCTTTTAACAGTATTCCAGTTATATCACTGCATGTCAACTTAATGTGGGAAAGGAAAGTATTTGACTTGATAACACAAGGGCACCCACCTAAATATATTGGCTAAAAATTGATTCTTCAAGACACCTTATTTGCCACATTATGCATCCCCTGATGGATTTTAAGACTTATCTGGTAGTCCTCTCTATAACATGAATCAGCAGCCCCTACCATACTTTCTTGTGTATAATACACATTTGTTTTTGGAAAATACAGATTTACAGTAGTTTATGTAGGGTTTGAAGGATCATGATTATCTCCCTTATTTCCTTGGTATTGTTATACGATGTCAGTGTTCTGTGATGACATGATGTCCCTCTTCCCGAGGTAAAGTCCAGTTATGAAAGTCCAGTTTCCACCCTTGCAAAACTAGGCTCGAATTCCAAAGATAAATTTTGGCTGGACTATCGAGTCTATGCATAGTCCAATCAAAATCGCGTAACGAACTAGGCATTCGGTTCATAAGGAACATGGATTTCAACATGCAGATTTCATGCAGGATTTGCAAAGCATGTGTACCGTCAACTTGGCGTCGACAGATGTTTTCCAAATCTTTTCATGTTTTTGATCATGGTGCTCAAATGATTTCATGTATTTCGCGATGTTAGTCCCGTTTTATAACAATATTGATTTTGATTATCGATCAGATCGTCTTGTTTAGGGGCTGCCATTATGTTTGAAGCAAATGCATGTGATATGAGAGGGTGAATCTGATTTGTCAATAGGAGAGATATGGAGGGATATAACTCGTAATAGCCACTGGTGGCGCTATGATCGAGCCATGGAATTCCAGCCTCGTTCGTCAAGAGTGGAAACTGGACTTTCCTAGTCAGTTAACTCCCTTGCCTCGGGAAGATGTATGACGTCACACACAGCATTATGTGTTATGTCTAGCCGGAATAGATGTATTGGAGCTGAAAGAACTCACCAGTGTTACCTTGTCATGTGGTCCCCCTGTGTGAGTGTGATTCTCAGTATGAACCTCATCACTCCCGCGAGTGTGATTATGATGAAATTTCTGTAGTTCTACAAGATCTCACTCACTCAAATATCCAGTGTTTATTATACACCGTAATACCAAGTCTGTGATATTATTAACTGAATAAACTAAAACCAACCATTCTAACGTGTAATGTATTAATTGTACTTGATTCTGTGTCTCACAGTTTCTGAATGTCTCAAATATTTTGCAGCTTTTTGTGTCATCTATTTGCAGGATTCTGTGTGAAAATGAAGACAGAGAAAAATGACAAAATCTTCATCAATGTGTGTGTCTCAGATAACGTGAGTACATGCTTCTATGGGATGTTCGTGTATCATGGTTATCAGAACTGTGTGATGCATCTCTCCATTGGGAGATTTCGTGACAGCATAGGTTCTATGTACTCCGTGCTTGTCATTAACCATGACTACCAGTAGGCGTGTGTATAGGCATGTGTATAATGTGCAACCTGGCTGATTGTATGTAATCATATTCCAACAACATAGAGACCCGTGAAGATCCGGGGTAGAATAGGTCTTCAGCAACCCATGCTTGCCATAAAAGGCGACTGTGCTTGTCGTAGGAGGCGACTAATGGGATCGGGTGGTCAGGCATGGATCGATGCTCATGTTATCAATCAACAACCAACCAACTTGGCTGCAGGTGGTAAAACAGAATGAAATCGTACCCTGGGAGAGTCATGTTGATTGCTTGTTTATTTGAAGCTGAAGAGCAAGGGAAATTCTCAGCTAGGTTGTTAGGTGATAAGAGAGATGGCGATGGGGATGGTGATGTTACTTCCGAAATGATGCTATGGTGGCGAATGGGTCCAGGGTATTTAATCAATAGAATAGACATATAATACCAAGGATAACCTTGGATGCTGCAAGACTAGTCCAACCTACTTCTTTCTGTGACATTCCATTTTGTGTTTATCAACTTTGTAATTTTCATATGATTCTCTGACACTGCCTGTTATAAGGGCCAACTGATAAGGATTGAGGCGACTATGCCTGTCGTAAGAGGCGACGAACGGGATCGACTTGGTTCATGCATGTCATCGTATTCCAATTGTGGGTCGATGCTCATGATGTCAATCACTGGATTGGCTGGTCCAGACTTGATTATTTACAGACCTCCGTCATAAAGCGTGAATATTGCTGAGTGCAGCATTAAACAACAAACAAATGATGAGGATTGATTCGTGTCAGTGTTTGACCTGGCTGATTGTGTTTCTTCATGTGTGTTAGACATGGATCTGTGATGTAGGTTGAATATTGGTCACTCACTACTGACTACAACAAAACTGCCCTCCTTCACCCTCTCACTTGCTTTCCCTCCCCCCACCGTGATATTGCTGGAATATTGCTAAAAGAGGCATAAAACCATACCCACTCACCATGCTCACACACTTTCTTACTCTCTCTATCACTCTCTCATTCTCTCTTACTCAATCACTCACTTTCTTTATCACTCACTCTCAATCTTTTACTCTCACTCACGCCGACTTACTCCATCAATCACCCTATCAATCACTCTCATTCACTCTGACTTACTCCATCAATCACCCTATCAATCACTCTCACTCACACTATCTCACCCGCTCACCATCCTGCCCCTCTCCACACACATTCTCACTCACTAATGCACCAGCGCTACACCTGACAGGTACCAGAACCGAAAGACCTGACAGAGGCAGAGTTGATACAGCTGCTGGAGTCTGACGACCCGACTGGGTTCCGGATACCCATGTCTATTGGAGAACCACATGCAGAGATGGATAAAGGTAGGCAGGGGTGAGACCAGTCGACATTGCTCTCTCAGCACACAACTGCAGGGATCGATTTCGCTATATCCAAGCTGCACCAGTGCGGATAAAACATTGCTAGTGCAGGTAACTTTTATTGCCAGGATGCACCCAGTGCAGGTAATATTTCCCACCACAAGTGCACAGCAGCAGTTTAATTTGATAAAAGTGGAAAACTGAATTCTTTTACACCTGGCTGCAAATCTTTTCGAATCCAGGGACCACAAGTTCATAAAATCAGTGAAATACACAGGTGGTCTGAATGCAGTGAACTGCAGAACTAATTCTTCAAAATTTCCACTAGAACAGTCCTGAGAAAGGAAACAGAGGAATGTATCATTGAATGAGTATGTGGTTCACCTTGAGCTCATGTGGCCTGGGACCCGTGAAGATCTGGGGTAGAGGATAGGTCTTCAGCAACCCATGCTTGCCGTAAAAGGCGACTATGCTTGTCTTAAGAGGCGACTACCAGGATCGGGTTGTCAGGCTCACTGTCTTGGTTAATACATGTCATCGTATCCCAATTGTGTGGATTGGTGCTCATGATGTCAATCACTGGATTGTCTGGTCCAGACTCGATTATTTACAGACCACCGTCATATGGCTGGGAAAATGCTGAGTGTGGCGTTAAACAACAAACAAACAATAAAACAAAATCATGTGGTCTGGTTGATATTTACTACCATATAAGTAACTATGCTGGCTGAAAAAGTGGTAGGAAAATGCGTTGTTGAAGTGAATGAGTATGGTTTTATGCCGCTTTTTACAATATCCCAGCAATATCACGGCGGAGGACACCAGAAATGGGCTTCACACTGTACCCATTTGGCGAATCAAACCCAGGTATTCAGCGTAACGAGCGAACGCTTTTACCACAAGGCTACCCCACCATTTCCACTGTGTTGTTGAAAGTTGCTGAGTACACATGAGTATAGATGAACATGTCCTGTACTTAGGTGGCGCTGGGTGCACGGCCTATGATGTCATCATCCATCCCTCGTTCCTGAAGAAGCTAGAAATCGGCAAGCTGTTCCTGGCGTTCTTCATCCAGGTGACCCGTGAGGGTATTGAGGGGAAGTATGACGTCCAGCTCAACCAAGGTAAGATATGTATATTTGGGCTTTTGCATCCGTACCATCTACTGTGTGTCGACAGATAGTGTCCAAAGCTGTTTATGTTATAATCTATGTTCTCAAGTGATTTGATGCACTTCACAAAGCAAGATCCGTTTTATTACAGTGTAGATTTTGATTATCAATCCAATTGTCTTGACAGGATGGGGTAGCCAAATGCAAGTGATATGAGAGTTGGAGACCTATTTGTCCTTGGGGGACTTAGATGGGATATAACTCATATCAGCCTTTGGTGGCACTCTGATCGAACCATAAAATACCAGCCTAGTTTGGCAATGGTAGAAACTGGAATTTTATGGTCAGTTAACTCCCTTGCCTTAAGAAAGATGAATGTGGATGCGAGTCTATTAGTGACATGTGGGTGTGTGTTTATCAGGGATACAAATCAAGGCTTAATATTTCATAGATATATAATGTGACATTGCTTGAAGTAGCATTAACAGCATTAAACTCCAATACCTAGTGGACCGCCTCCGTGGTCTAGTGGTAGAGCGTCCGTCCGCTAAAACTAGGACTGGTCGGCTCGGAGTCAGTATACTGTGTCTGAGTGGGGTATTCATGTTAAACTGCGGCATGGTATCTCAGTGAGCTAGCACTATAAATCGGCATCAGTCCGGACTAGTACAAGCAGCCACACACACACGTGCATGCACGTCGCTATATAAGTGCAATAATCTTGGATGCGACGTTAAACCCAATTTCACCTCACCTCACCTCCAATACCTAGTTAATATGGTAACGAGGGACAATTCAGTTAAAGTTAAAGCCGATAAATATTGAGATTTGTGTTTTGTAGAATAGCAACTTTCGGGTTGGTAAGGCTGGTAACAAGAAAATTTAACATTGTGTTATTTACACATTAACATCTTGTAGGTCAGCTGTGTCCAGCTTGTGTTGTTGTCAGTCTCCTACATGGCTGTGACTGACCATGTAAGTGTGTGTGTGTTGTAGAGTATGTGGTGTTGAAGAACCGCAAGTCTATCGGTCAGCTACAGGAACAGAATGTGCGCACCAAGTCCAAGCCCTTCATCATGGACATGGGAGACGGGTGAGTGGGGCGTTTGATGAGTGGGGGACATGAGTGGGGAGACGGGTGAGTTAGGGATGGATGAGTGGGGGACGGGGGAGATGGGTGAGTGGGGTGTTGGGTGTGTGGGGGACATGAGTGGGGAGACGGGTGAGTGGGGAGACGGGTGAGTTAGGGATGGATGAGTGGGGGACGGGTGAGAGGGGAGATGGGTGAGTGGGGCGTTGGGTGTGTGGGGGAGATGAGTGGGGAGACGGGTGAGTTAGGGATGGGTGAGTGGTCGGCAGGAGAGTGGGACGGTGGGTGAGTGGGACGGCGGGTGAGTTGGTCATCAGGATGTTCTCACTCTCATTTGAACTCTTCCATGTTTATTTCCAAAAAAAATAATTCAAGTCATTTGAAGTTCTTTTATCAAATGTATTAACTAAACTACCAAGTACCTATTTATCATATAAATTATCAATATCTGTTTAATGTTTAATGATAGTTGTTTATGTAACCTTAACATTTGGTCAAACGTCCTAAGCGTCATCACCACTTGTCTAGATAACTCTTGTGTTGGTACTGTTTATGCTTACTGTTAAAAGATAACAGATGTAGAAAGCATCGCTCTTTTCAGGCAGCATGTGAATTAATTCTGCAGTACTGATTTTAGTAATTTAAGGCCAATCTTCACCCAAACTTAACACCAGCAAAGCTGAAGTATCAGGAAACAATATGGAGACAGTTATGTTAATTTCTATGTTTAGAGTATGAAGGCATCATTAAAGTAGTACCAAGATTATGTCAGGTTACTTTCCATACATTAGGCCATGTTATGTTTCATCTACTTTTGGGGGTCGGTTGGGTAGCCTGGTGGTTAAAGCGTTAGTTCGCCATGCCGAAGACCCGGGTTCGATTCTTGACATGGGTACAATGTGTGAAGCCAATTTCAGGTGTCCCCCACTGTGATATTGCTGGTATTTTGCTAAAAGCAGCGTAAAACCAAACTTACTCACTCACTCATCTTCTTTTGGAGGCATGGTTATTATATTAGGCACTGAAATTCGCTGTGCAGAGTTACCTCCCTTTGCTGACTCCACATTTGTTCAAAGCCCAGTTTCTTGGCTTGACAATACTTGCAGTGGGAGATGTCACTTCGGGCTTTCCTCTCAAAATGAACCGACATGTTTTGCTGAGATACTATTCAATTCCTCCTAAAATCCTCAATAGATTATCAGGATGTAGCTCATGTTAAACCTTATCTCTCCTAATCCTTGTGTTGCAGGGCCCCCCAGACACCCGCTCCCACCCCCCAGGCCAAGCCCCTGGTGCAGGAGATACCCACTACTGAAGTCAAGAAGTGAGTTCAGTGTAATAGTAGCCCTAACCAGCTGCTTCTGTGCTCATTGTATCGTACATTCTTATGTTGCTCTTCACTCAAATGGCCCAGGTGCGATTCCCCACATTGTCTCCAACTCAGATGTGTCTAATCCCTGGTGGGGTGGCCAGGTAGCCTAGTGGTTAAAGCTTTTGCTCGTCACACCAAAATCCCGGGTGCCATGAGAGGCGACTATGCTTGTCGTAGGAGGCGACTAACGGGATTGGGGGCTCAGACTCACTGACTTGTTGATGCATGTCATCGTATCTCAATTGCATGGATCATGATGTCAATCACTGGATTTTCTTGTCCAGACTCGATTATTTACAGACCGCCATCATATAGCTGGGATATTGCTGAGTGTGGCATTACACAACAAACAAACAAACTTTATGTGTTGAATTCCTGGTTTATTCCATAAATAGTCCAAAGAGCTACACCAGTCCCCGGATAAGTTGATTTATTTTCATGAGGATTTTGATGCAAGGACATTCGACTGTACTTTTGTTTTGCAAATTAATTACTTTTCCTTCAACAAGGCTTGTAAAAATTAGTTCCATGTAGACTAAACATACATGACGATAAGCCTTAATGAATGCAACTGTACAATTTTACTTGATTCACTTATCTTGCCATTACCGGTTCTGTGATGCATGTGATGTTCTGTCTGCAGAGGCCCAGAACCAAAGTTCACATTAGTCCAGGAACCAGCGGAGGGCCACCCTGAATTCATAGTGGCCGAAATCCAGCTCCCAAAAGTTGTACGTAACAGTCCATGTTGTTGACATCCTCTGTTTCATAGAAAGGTTCATATCTTTCCCATTTCTGTTATGTTTTGGGGCACAGATGGCTCAGTCGTGTGGGTTGCTGCAGTTTGATGTGCAGAATTGCAACCATTTGGCACGCCAGAAACCTTGATCATTGTTTAGAATCCCGGTCCCGGTTATGTCTACACCATACCCATGCTGGTAGCTCGCTCGCACGCTTCATGAAATAGTGACATCACCAGTGTAACAACAGTCAAACTTCACACGACTACTAACTTTAAACCCGTGAAGATCTGGATTAAATAGGTCTTCAGCAACCCATGCTTGCCGTAAAAGGCGACTATGCTTGTTTTAAGAGGCGACTAACGGGATCGGGTGGTCAGGCTCGCTGACTTGGTTGATGAATGTCATCATATCCCAATTGCGTAGATCGATACTGATGATGTCAATCACTGGATTGTCTTGTCCTGACTTTATTATTAATAGACCGCTATCATTTAGTTGGAATATTGCTGAATGCGGCTTAAACAACAAAAAGACAGACTAACTTTAATGAGGATTGTGTCTGTCCCTGCGTCCTATGCTGTGAACGGACACCACATGGTGGCAGCAACGGAGAGTCCCACCGCTCCACACATGGCCGTGTCATGTCCCCCAACATAGCTACAGTGTGTCTGTCCCTGTGTCCTATGCTGTAAACAGACACCACGGAGAGTCCCACTCCACACATGGGTGTGTCATGTCCCCCAACATAGCTACAGTGTGTCTGTCCCTGTGTCCTATACTGTGAACGGACACCACAGAGAGTCCCACTCCACACACGAGTGTGTCATGTCCCCCAACATAGCTACAGTGTGTCTGTCCCTGTGTCCTATGCTGTAAACAGACACCACGGTGAGTCCCACTCCACACACGAGTGTGTCATGTACCCCAACATAGCTACAGTGTGTCTGTCCCTGTGACCTATACTGTAAACGGACACCACGGAGAGTCCCGCTCCACACATGGCCGTGTCATGTCCCCCAACATAGCTACAGTGTGTCTGTCCCTGTGACCTATGCTGTGAACAGACACCACGGAGAGTCCCACTCCACACATGGGTGTGTCATGTCTCCATCCACTGTTTCAGAAGACGGCCAGCACACTGACCCTGGACGTGGGGGAGGACCGTGTGGTGCTGGACACTCGCTCCAATGTCTACTACCTGGACATCTACCTGCCATACAACGTCGTCCAGGAGGAGGTCGGCTCACAGTTTCACAGGAAGAACAAGGTAGGACTCCATGTCTGTCCAGAGGCTCTCTGTGTCTGCTGATCTTTGAATGGAAGACTATACCCCAAGTTACTTCTACATGTACAAAGTTCCATCAATAATAACCAACAAAGAATGTTAAGCTTGTAAAAAATATTACTGTATATTTGAAAAGAAAACTGCCTGTGTAATGTAACAAAAATATTTTATTGAGATAGTGTAACTTTTGTTACCTTATCATGTGCAAAACCTTTGTCTTATTTATTGTACTCTTGGGCAGATAAACACCAAATAGACTACTTCTACTACTTCTTCTTCTTCTTTACCCATGAAGATCCGGGGTAGAATAGGTCTTCAGCAACCCATGCTAGCCGTAAGAGGTGCCTAACGGGGACGGCTGGTCAGGCTCGCTGGCTTGGTTGATGTATGTCATCATATCCCAATTGCATGGATCGATGCTTATGATGTCAATTCACTGGATTGTCTGGTCCAAAGCCCCTGAAGTACAGTGCCCAAGCCATGCAAGCTATCCTATTATATTAGCAAGGGATCTTCATGTCCAGAGTACATCTCTATCTCAATTTTGTATTTCAGATTCTGACAATCACTATGCCAGTACAGCCCTTGTCATAGCAGCCACTACACGACATAATGTTTCAACACTGATAGAACAACACTATCACACTATGGTGATGACAGTGTGCCACAAGAGTAACCTCTCTAAAACAGGTTCCATGTGAGTGACGTGTGTGACATGAGGTGACTCTCTGCATTCCTTCCCCTGTGATAGAATAAAATGGAAGGATGGAACTCAACGGAAGGGTTGTCCTCAGTTCCACATTGAACAGTTTTATTCATTATCTATTTATGAATATTTGTGTTATGTTTTGTAATAAAATTGAAATAAAAAGGTGTGTGGGGGAGACATCAAGATGTTTGTTGTACAGTCTAATGTGGATATCAAGGAGAAGATGGCTGTTATTGTTGATCAACCTAAGTGAAGTTAATATTTTTTAATTTTTTTTAAATAATTAAAAAGTGAGGCAGAGAAAAATGAAATGAGGTTTGTTATGAGTTTATTGTGACCTGATGTTAAAGGGGCACTTGGCTCTGCCTAATTGACAGTCCCAGAAACTTTTATTCAAGATTCAATATCATTTATATCAGATCTTTTTATGAGCTAAACACGTGTGGTTTCAGATTTGCATGTTTTATAGAGTGTTTTACCATTTAATACCCCCACCGGGGGCACGGGTGGCCCAGTCGTCTAAGGCGCTGCGATTCACTGTGCAGAGTTGCGTCCCTTGGGCACGCCAGAAACCTATGATTGTGGGTTCGAACCCCGGTTCGTCCCGATTATGTTTTCTAGGTTTGTCAGTACCATACCCGTGCTCGTGGGTTTCACCAAAGTGGTAAACGTCTGAGACCTGCATCACTTCGGGCTTTCCTCCCACATTAAACTGACACGCCACGATATAACTGGAATAGTGTTAAAAGCGGCGGTAAACCCAACTCACTCACTCACTTATACCACCAGCATTGAATACCTAATAAAGCAAACAAATCTCATCTTCCCGATGCAAGAGAGTTAACTGACTTTAAAAGTCCAGTTTCCACCCTTGCCGAACTAGGCTGGAATTCAGGAGTTACATTTTGGCCGGACTAACAAGTCTATGTATAGTCCAATCGCGTAACTAACTATAGACATACGGTTCGCAAACATGGATTTCAAGGTGTAGATTTCGGTCAACGGAAAGATTTGTAAAGCATGTGTAGCACCATGGGTGTTGACAGATATTTTCCAAATCTTTTCATGTTTTTAATCAAGGTGTTCAAGTGATCTCACGCACATTGCGAGATAAGGCCTGTTATCTTACAATATAAATCTTGATTATCGATCAAATGGCCTTGACTGGGCGCCGCCATTTTGTTTGAAGCAAACGCATATTGTGTGAGAAGTGGAATCTGATTGGTCAATAGGAAGGTCATAGAAGGGACTTAACTTGTAATAGCCGCTGGTGGCGCTCCCGTCAACCATGGAAATTCCAGCCTTGTTCGGCAAGGGTCGAAACTATACTTTTATGGTCAGTTAACGCCCTTACCCCAGGACAAATTTGAAAACACATAATGTTTATCCACATTGTAAAATACAAAAGTTATCAGTCATTTTCTGAAGCACTCTCCCTACCAGAACTCTTACACTTGTCCGACAGACATGACGTCACCCTGAAATGTGATGGCCTCGTGATACAATGGGTGGTGCCATATGTTCTGGTGATAACGGAACTAGCCTGTAAGAAAACATACAACTTTATGGATAACAACTTCTGGTTAATTGCATTTAGCGATGTTTCAAAGTAGGTAAGGTCTACGTAACCTGTAGGAATCAACATCATCCCTAAACACAATAAAACAGAAGTTGTTATCCAAAAACTTTTAGAATGCAAATCAAACAGTGAACTAGCCTGGTTAGCAGAATGTGGAACAAAAGATCTAATTTGAAGTTGACATTTGAATTTTATCCAACTGAGTAGTTAACATGGTATCAATTTAGCCAGGCCCAATGGTACTTTTGTCTAATTTTGGGATTGAGAGAAAAAAGATACTTATGAAAAAATATTTATGAGCTATGAATAATCCAGGAGATTCTGTCTTCGAATCCTATTTACTATATTCCACGTAATCAGCGCACAGGGCCCTCTCAAAATTAGAAATAAGGGACTCTTATTAGAATATAATTTTGGTGAAAGAGTTGAAAGATCGTAAATTTCGTGTTTTATGCTGACAGCCTGAAATGATACAAAAGAAAAGTCTGTGCGTATTATACACAAACAGATATATTTTGCATGTTTTATAGAGTGTTTTACCATTTAATACCCCCAGCATTGAATACCAAATAAAGCAAACAAATCTCATCTTCCCGAGGCAAGAGAGTTAACTGACTTTAAAAGTCCAGTTTCCACCCTTGCCGAACTAGGCTGGAATTCAGGAGTTACATTTTGGACAGATATATTTTTCCAGAATTAATTGCCCGTAATTAAGGTTGCATATATAACATACGAGTGCGTAAATTGATCAATAGGAAGGGTGCAAATTGGGATTGTTCACTAGCCAATATAATAGCCAATATCACCGTGGGCGCTTATTAGAGCGGGGCGCTTATTACGTCGAATACGGTAGTCCCGTTTTTCAAAATTTCAGCAAACATTCCCATTCGTTTGACCATGCCCTGTATTGAAGTGGAGTAAAAGTTCAGATTTTCATGAGATTGACGTGAGTCCCGAAACACGACTTTCTTTGTTGGCTGCTCTTCTCCCAAACGTTACGTGGCGAGTGAACAAATAGGCAGAGTCACAATCTATCTGTATGTGGCAGTCCATAGTGGCAACAAATGGTTGCTTCCGCTTTATGTCTTAAAGAATTAAATCTGATGTGTGTAAATATATAATGGGAATATAGGGATGTTTATCCAGTGAGTTAACCTCGGAAACAGCAGCAGTCGTCTTAGTCCAGCGACTAAAACCTTACCTTAATCCACTGATTTAATAATTGAACGCTCCCGTGAAGATCCGGGATAGAATAGGTCTTCAGCAACCCATGATTGTCGTAAAAGGCGACTATGGTTGTCGTAAGAGGCGACTATCGGGACAGAGTGGTCAGGCTCGCTGACTTGGTTGATGCATGTCATCTATCCCAAGTGCGTGGATTGATGCTCATGATGTCAATCACTGGATTGTCTGGTCCAGACTCGATTGTTTACTGACCGCCGTCATATGGCTGGAATATTGCTGCGTGCGGCGTTCAACAACAGACAAACAAGCAAAATAATTGAACGAAACGGGCATAAAATATACTGTATTGGCACTGTTATATTAATGCAGTTGGGTGACATAGCGCCTTGCGCGAGCTGGAATTACTAAAAATAAACAGAATTTTATGTGTGTCACGATGTGTCAGATTGATGGGGGAGACCAAAGTGACATCGGTCGTAGCTAGGCGTTCTTTAGGCTGGCGAAAGCCACGAGCACCTGCAGGCACTTAATATATACCGACGTACGTGTAGGCGCGCGCGGGTGTGCGTCCGTGTGTGTGTGCCTGTTTGTACTAGTCCGGACTAATGTCGGTTTTAGTGCCAGCCCACTGAGATACCATGCTGCAGTTGTAACATGAATACCCCACTCAGACGTAATGTACTGACTCCGAGCCAACCGGTCCTGTTTTATCCCCTTAACGCCGAGTGCCAGGCTGAGTAACAAGTACAGTAGACTACGGTTAAAACGAACACGCTTATAACGAACTGACGGATATACCGAACTTACTTTTTGGTCCCGAATATTTGCTGTAGTTATGCTGTACATATGCTTATAACGAACTACGGTTATAACGAACTAAAATTAGTAGTCCCTTTGAGTTCGTTATAACCGTAGTTTACTGTACTATATTTTAACGTCTTTTGGTATGATATACATGACGCGGCCGGGGATCTAACCCTGACATTCCGCTCTCCGAGCCGAAGATATACTACAGACAGACCAGTAATAATAATGATCATTCTGGGCTCGAACTTAGGTTCATCAGGGCCTCGTTCCGCTACGACTATCGCAAGCCTATGTTAGTGAGTGAGTATGGTTTTACGCCGCTTTTAGCAATATTCCAGCAATATCACGGCGGGGGACACCAGACTTGGGCTTCACACATTGTACCCATGTCGGGAATCGAACCCGGGTCTTCGGCGTGACGAGCGAACGCTTTAACCACTAGGCTACCCGACCGCCCCTCAAGCCTATGTTAAAGAATGGGAGTTACAATCGTCTTAGCGCGAACGCTGATCCAGGCACGTGACGCAACTCTTCACCGCGACTTGCTGCGCCTCAGACCACTTCTCCACCTGCGCCCCTACACAGTATTCAAGGCCGTAGTTAACCTAATATTTGTACAAGTTTTACTTGTCCCCAACTTGATTCAAATAAAACTGTTTTCTATTTTTTTAATCGGGACCGAACCAGACAATCCAGTGATTGACATCATGAGCATCGATCCATGCAATTGGGATACGATAACATGCATCAACCAAGTCAACAAGTCAGCGAGCTTGACCACCCGATTAGTCGCCTCTAACGACAAGCATAGTCGCCTTTTACGGCAAGAACGTTCAACATGTCCCGCTAAGACCGCTGACCCCCCGATCTTGTTAGTCGCCTCTTACGACAAGCATAGTCGCCTTTTACGGCAAGCATGGGTTGTTGAAGACCTATTCTACCCAGTGCAACATTCATAGACTCATAAAACTATGAACCCGTTCTTGGTTCCCTCTCCGCGCGCTTTAATATGCTGAAATACAGCAACAAGGGTTGTTAAGCTTTGATGATGAATGTCACGGAGTCAAAACGTCAGTCAGGTGGCGACACAAATATTTCAACGGATCAAACTTTCGTGGCGCATTATCGAGACTCGGTTGTATGGACAAAAAGATTCAACATTGTCTTATGTAACAAAAATCAAATTAAATGTCTAACGAAGAGCCCATAAGAACCTCGTTTCAAACAAAAAAGGCGATTCCAGATTCATTAAATACATTATCCTGTGATCCAAGTTATTAACTATATACTTTTTGTCTCAGCTACTTTCGGTTGCTATGGAAACGACATCGCAAGGTATGCACCGATTGTTTACTGTGCAGTCTGACACAAGCTTGGATGTTTGACGGGGTAATGTCAACATTATTCTTCCCCAAGACATCGAGAAAAACTTTACATACTTACATAGAGGAAACAATCCCCTTGCACTTATCATGGATCATTGTTTTTTTACACCAAGACCGCCTGTAGAATTGACAGCTGGTTGCTATTAATGTTTGTTATTGAGAATTAAAGGGAGAAAGACCCCACACACTCAACTGAAACACGTTTACACGTTTCACTCGGCCGTCCA